CTGGAGAAGAGCCTGATGCTGGGAGCAATTGAGGGCAAAAGAAGGAGGGGACGGCAGAGGATGAGGTGGCTGGATGGGGTCTCTGGGGCGGTGGGTGTGGGCTCAAGTGGACTCTGGGGGATGGTGGAGGACAGGAGAGCCTGGAGGAACATTGTCCAAGGGGTCCTAATGGATCGGACTCGATTTTGTGCCCGAACAGAACAGAATCATTGCCTCAGCTTCATGAGAAGTCCAAGAACCAGGCGCTGGAAGGGAGAGGATACGAAAACAGCTCACAGCGTCGTAACTGGGGTGCTGGTTCTGCTTACGCAGGGTCCTGTCCAGTCCTGAAAGAACGTGTAGTGTGCGGGAGCAAAGCCCAGTGAGTGCTGCAGGCAGCCGGGTGCACACGTGTGAGCACAGTATTACTGCTTGAGTCTGATTTTTAATTTTGCAAACTCCTGCAGTATATCACGGAAAAACAATCCTAAGTAGTTTGAATAAATGAGGTGAAACAGGAAGCCTGCCAAGCAATTTTCCCCTCATTAAAATCTGCGACTTCAAAAGATTGCAAAAGAGTATCGCAATACAGGATGCAGATGGGCATTTCCAGAAGTCTCGGGGAAACCGCTCACCCTCTCCGAGCGTTTCCTCTTTCCACTTTGAATTAGCTGAAGATAACTTTAACCAATTCCCTGGACTTAATTTAAAATTATTTATAATTATAGGGGCCTGTCCAAGGTCGCCATCAAAAAAATGCAATCTTCAATTAAAGTGCAGAACACAGAGAACACGAACATGGTTCAAACTCCACCAAGGATCTTTCCAGAGACTGCAAAAGCACGGTGAAAAAATTGTTTTTGGTCTGTGCTCATCACCATCAAATTTGTACATCTACTGAAACAGTCAGTGTCTGTCGCTGTTCGTTTGACTGCTTCTAACAGTGCCTTGATTCCTTGGCCCCTCAACTAACAGACCCAAAGGGGGGGCCCTCAGTTTGGGCGAAGGTCTCTGAGCTCCAGAAGGACGGAGCTGGGGAGGGCCCAAGCTGTGTGGAAGCGACAGTGCTTCATCTCTGGTTCTCTCTGAGGGAGGCAAATTTTGGTTCAGGGCTGCAAATATTGTCCAGGCATTGTGCACAGCTGACTAATGCCGCTGCAACTGTTGCGTTTAGCTCACAGATTTTGGCTGCCGGGCGTCTGTGCATGGGAGGTGGGTGGGAAGAATGGAAGGGACACAATTTTAGGGCTGCAACGTCAAATCAACAGGAGCTGTTTACAATGGTTCTTTCTCTGGGGCTGAAGGGCGACGCTGCCACCATGGAGATCTTTTTTGGCGTGTGCTCGCGACTCCACCGCTGGTTGCGGCTTTATCTTTGGGCGTATCTAGCTGTACATTTTTGGGAAAGTCGGAGTGTGTGCGGTTTTCCCCCCAACCGGTTGTAACCGAAGCACCTGTGTATCGGGCATGCATACTTACCTGGCAGAGGAGACACCTGGAATGCAAAGGAGATTTGGATGCTCTGGCTTCTCCGTTGCACCCCGTAATTTCCCCAAATGGGAGAATCATGGCTATATAATTTGTGGCTGTGCAGGATGCATTCACAAGTACACCTCTTGCTACGGGCTCTCATCCACCTAGCAAGTGCAGCACAATTCCAATTCCAAAGGGGTGTGTTGAAATTCGTGAATCGGAGTATTTGTGCCTCGGGGTTAATTTTCAGGTGTGCATCTGTGGATTGATAAACGGTCGTATGGATCCTCTTCGGCCCTCGTGCTCGCTGCATAATGCCTACTTTATTTTCAAAGTCTCTTTATTTTCAAAGTGCAAATATTTTCAGATTATTACTTTTGTTAGATGCAGCTAAAGTATCACACAGGCTTTTCAGTGAAGGTTGCGCAATATGTTTACAGAATAAAAAACTGTGTTTGCCCACAAGTCACACATAAATAATAAGCCTCAGCAAAAGTGGCAAACGCACACATCCTGGCAAACACAGGCGTTTCCAACGAAAGGCGTTGCCAGCTAAGGCTAAACATGCAAGTATGTTTAGTATGTAGTAAATAAACGCACGTTGCAATCTAGTGGCGCTGCATCTGGCATGGATAACTTCTGTGTGTGAGGAGCGGAGGAAAGAAGGCCGAGTCCATAAGTGGGAACATGGTTTGCTGTAGGATTACAGATTTAAGACAGAAAGCAAGGATTGCTACTCACAGTAGGCTTTGGGGTTAAATGGTTTAGGAACAGGTCATGCTGTCTGTCCTCTTCTGTTTCTTTATCAGGGCAGCCAACAGAGGAAGATAAGAACCCAGATCTGTCCTGCTTGCATGTTTCTTCATTCTTCTTAGTGGCCAAGTGGTCATTTATTAAAAGAATGGGGGTAGCAGGGAAAAAGAAATGGCCACTGAAAAGGAAAACTCGATTGTGTAGCTACAAGCGACTAACTCCTTGTTTAAATGTGCCGAAAATGCTTGAAATGGAGCTTATGGGTTAGAGAGAATGAAGACTTTAGGGCTGTCATTAAATGTGCCGAAAATGCTTGAAATGGAGCTTATGGGTTAGAGAGAATGAAGACTTTAGGGCTGTCGTGCGAAGGGGGAAATGGTGGTGGAGAAAGAACCATGTGGGGGGAAGGCCTGCATGGAGGAAAAGCAAGGCCGGCTCGCTTGCAAGGCTGAAAAGCAGCTTTTAACGCCGTGGCAAAACTGCCAGGCTATTGCACGGCTCGTTCATAAAGTGGTGCCTATTTCAAGGGTTGCCTTCTGCTTGAGGGGTTGCCAGCTTCAGCCTCTCAGGCAAAGGGATCGTGTAGCCTGGCTTGACTGCTGCAACACACGCTCAGTTGGGGCTGCCCTTCCAGCTGGTGCAGAAGGGCTCCTGGCAGGGACGGGCCGCCTTTTACGGCTGGCAGGCTGGCAGGCTGCCCCTTCGTTACTGGGCCACGTTTAAGGTTCTGGTACTAACCTTGAGAAGAGAAGACTGAGGGGGGACATGATCTCCCTCTAGAAGGACCTCCAAGGCTGCCACAAAGAGGAAGGTCAAGGTCTCTTCTGGCTGATGCCAGAGTTTGGACATGGAATGATCAGTTCAAGCTGCGACAGCCCAGATTCAGGCTGGACACCAGGAAAAGCTTCCTCGCGGTCACAGCAATATGAGAGTGAAACCAGCTGCCTGGAGAGGTGGGGGGCTCTCCCACGCTGGAGGCATTCAGGAAGAAACTGGGCAGCCCTCTGAGTGGGGTGGAGTGACTTGGTGTCCTGCAACAGCAGGGGGTGGGCCTGATGGCCTTCATCCAGCTCTGCTGTTCAATGATTCTGTGATTCTAGTGTACAAAGCTCTAACCAACTGGAGACTGGGAGATCTGAGAGCACCTTTTCTCTTACCCGTTGAGGTCATCAGGTGGCCCGTTCCTGGCAGGCCCACGTGGACCCAAGGCCTGGAGTCCACTCGGAGAGGGACCTCGCTTGTGGTGACCCCACTGCTGTGGGATTCTTTGCCTCTGGAGGTCAGGCAAGCCCCAATATTGTGTAGCTTTAGCACCTCCTGAAAACACCTGCATTGCAAGAAGCCGCCTTAAGCCGCGGTTTTTATTAGTACCCCTTTTCAGAATAATGTTTCATACTGTTGTTTTATTCTCATCCCAGAATCTGGGGTGTGTTATATAAATGGTGTTAATAGACTCTAATCTGCCTGTACCTTGCAGGGGATGAAAATGCCAGGGAAATGAACCTTGCAAAGAGCAGCTGTCAAAGGAACCGGTGTTTTCCCCGGTTCAGCATTCTGGGTGCTAGAACCTGCCTTGGCAACTCGTGGCCTGCCGAGCCAGGCGGCATCCACGCACTGCAGCCTTCCAGTTGCCCGCCAGCCCTGGGTTTGCCCTGGTTCCAGGGAGCAGAGACAAACAGGAGGCTGTTGAGCCTGGCTTTGCTTGACGCATCCCACATCGCTCAGGCCAGAAGTAGGCAGAGCTCAGTCACGCCATTCCCGGCAAGCTAAGCTCTGCTCTTGGCCTATTTCACTTTCAGAAGCTGCTGCACCCTTGGAGACCTGCTTGGACACAGATCCCTTCCCCGTTGCTCAAAATGTTAAGTGGCTTTTTCAGCCTTGGGCAGCTTGACCATTCTGTGGAGACCTTCCCTTTCCCATCTTCTGAATGTCTGCATGGGCCAGAGACTGTCTTCAAAAGGGAAGGGGAAACGAAAAAAAACCCCCTCCATCTTGGTGTTGTGGAAGTGACCTGAAGTGTTTTGGCCGGCTTTCTTGCGTGCTTCTCTTGTATGTTTGCTTTGCTTTTTGGTTCATATGTACTTCTGAAGGCCTTTTGTTTTGTTTTTGCACCTCTGGCTTCCGTTCTGTGAAATGGGTACTTCGTGCTGCAGATTGGAGGCAATTAAGGGGTTTGGCTTTGGGGCCTCAAACCCAGGCTACGTTTTGTGGTCAGTACCTTGGCTAGGGTCTTCTTTGTGAGCAGCTGAGTCCTCATGGCCACTCTTCTCTGGGTTCAGTGCCTCGGTTTTCCCAGTCTGGTCTAAGTCCATCGCAGACTGTTTTATACTTCCTTGCCCTCCCCTCTCCCCCTCAGTCGCATTGTATGCTCGCTGTTCAATGTTAGCCAATAAATTTCTCTCTGCTGAGACAGACTTAGGTGCATTTAAAGGCGAATTTGGGCTTTTGGTTTCTGATGCAAACTCTGAAAACACAAAGGGACGCTAAAAGTGTCAATGAAAATGCTCAGGCAGACTCATATTCTAGATTTCCAGGACACATACATAAACAGTCCATATTTTGAACCTTTCTTACCTTAGAAGCCTTCCTCTTCTAAATCAGCACAAATAAATGTGAAGTGTAGGTTGTGGCTGGGCTTTTTTCCTGTTTACAAGCGCATCTGGAAATCTAGTTTTGGTGCTAAGGTTCCTCTGGACGTCATAACTGAATGATTATTCTGTCTGCTTTAAATCGTTTCCATGCGTGCACAAGAGCACAAGAGTCGGCAGCGCACTGAGCTCTCCCTCTCTTTGCAGATGTGGTGTTGGAGAAAGCCATGCACAAATGCATCCTGAAGCCCCTTAAGAACCACGTTGATGTGATGCTGAAGGATTTCCATACGGCCGACGGCTCCTGGAAGCAACTGAAAGAAAACCTCCAACTGGTCCGACAACGAGACCCTCAGGAGCTGGGAGTGTACGTCCCAACACCGGACTTTGTAGACGTTGAGAAGATTAAAGTCAAGCTCATGACAATGCAGAAGATGTACTCACCTGAGAAGAAGGTCCTTTTGCTCCTCCGTGTTTGCAAGCTGATTTATACTGTGATGGAGAACAATTCAGGTAGATGCGGACTTCGTTCTTTCTAGCCAAGGAGAGGAAAAGAGGGCATGTCTTCAGATCTTTTCTTTGCCTTGCTCTGTCTATCTGGGAATGTGCCATCTGTATGATGCACTGCACAAAACGGATTTCTAGAAAAACGGGGCTGGATAGAATGAACATCTTGGGAAGATGCGTGGGGAGTTAAATCCCCTTTCCTGAAGACTTTGTGGATGCAGGAAGAGCAGGCCTCACACAGTTTTGTGGGGAATTGCTCCTGATGAAGACAGTCCTCCTCCTGGTGCAAAAGCTCCGGGGTTTAACCTGCACGGTGCCGCCCTTTGTGGAAGACACAGATGCTTAGTCGGTTGCCCTGCATCGCATAGGGTTGTGAGGCCCACGACTTCACCTCTGTGTCCATTGTAGGGCGGCAAAGCCATCTGTGCGATGCTTGTCATGCTCACGCGTGACCCTCCAGAATATTGAGAGAACACCTCATGTCAGGTGATAAAGCATCCGCATGCTCTTAGGGGGTGTTTAAATGTCATGAGAGGTGGAGGACACCCAGAAACACACGGATGGGTTCTTCTTCCTCTGTGAGAGAGGTTTGGCTGCAGTCTAAAAACTTTCTTCTTAATATTGTGCAGAGCAACGAAAAATTTGGTGTCACTGGCTTGTCATGCTTACTTTGGAAGCCTGGTGTAATAATTTGAATGGGGACTCATTCATCAGGGGACCCTGATGTGCCCATAGAAAAGCCCGTGCCCCAAAGCCAGCATAGGCTCCTCTTGCCCTCGAGTCACGTGCCTCCTCCTGGGCGTACCAGGTAGGGAAAACCAGGAGTCTTCGGCGGATATTGGAAGAAGTGCAGGGTTCCGTGGGGTCGACACCTTGGTGGAGGCTTAGAGCTGCCTTCACGCACCCCTTCAGCAGAATGAGAGAGCAGAGTGGTGGCCCTCCACCGAGTTGTCTTCAGCAAGCCACGGAGTTGGCCGAGAACTTCAGGAGAACGTCAGGAATGTCTGGGCTAACATGGAGAGATGCACTAGATGGTGCTTCGTTCGGGGGTGGACTTAGGCCCGTGTTTTCATACTTTGTTCCCAGTATTTAACTACATTGCTACCAGCATCCAACTCTTCTCTTTCGCCATGTCCCCAGAGTATAAGACAGCGAGTAACTCTTCCCTATGCGCCCTCCTGCCCCTTAAGATCTGAGGCGGAGGCCCCTCTTTGGGAGCCCTCCTTGAAAGAGACTGGGAGGGTGGCTACCGGGAGCAGGGCCTTCTCTGTGGTGGCACCCCCCCCCCGATTGTGGAATGCGCTCCCCAGAGAGGTCCGCCTGGCGCCGTCACTTCACTCTTTTCAGCGCCAGGCCAAAACCTTTTTACTCTCCTGTTATTTTAATGTTTAATGGGTTTTAATTGTGATTTTATTGTGAATTGCTGGATGCTGTGCCATATTTTATCTGGGCTTGTTGTAGACTGTCTCAGGGCACTAGTAATGGGATGGTCTATAAAAGCTTTAGACAGACAGACAGACAGACAGACAGACAGACAGACAAAAGAGCACGCAAAAGATAGGCACACACCTAACTGTGAGTTCCTTTGAGCTTGCAGCCACATCCTCTGTAGCCTCTTAAAAAACTCAGATTAATTGTCTGAGCCAAGATTAAGTGTCTTGGTTCCATCTGCATTTCAACATGGATCTCAAATGCACTGCTGAATGGAAAGAGCAATGCGGGAAAGAGTCTTTGAAAGGAGAGGCAGCCAAGGGGGTCACCACAGCTGTGCTCTGTCTCCCCTCCAAGGAAGGATGTACGGCGCCGATGACTTCCTGCCCGTGCTGACCTACGTCGTGGCTCAGTGCGACATGCTGGAGTTAGATGCTGAAATCGAGTACATGATGGAGCTTCTGGACCCGTCCCTGCTGCACGGAGAAGGTACCGTCCTTGGTGGCCGATGACTCTCTCTCTAGGAATTCCACTGCTGATAGCGGGCCTGAACAGAGAATTGCTGCCAGGGGCTTATCAAGCAACGCCTGCAAACAAAACCTAAAGATAACTGCAGCCAAGCAAAAACGAAAGTCTCGCGTGCCTGTTGGGTGGAGAAGGAGAGGCGAAAGTCTCGCATGCCTGTTGGGTGGAGAAGGAGAGGCAGAGCCCTTTATCAATGAATATGCTGCTGTGTGATCCTGGAAGCAGGAAAACATAAACTTGGATGCTCTCTGGCCGAGTTTATCTTTGTTTCCTGAACAGCCATCTTGATTAACCGTAACCCGCTTGGAACAATTAATAGACACAGATCTTGATGCAGGGTTTGAATCTACTCGTTGAATCTATTCAACCAGTATGGATTCTTTTTCATAAGATAGCCCTCATCTGTGTATCTCCTCCGGAGGTACGGAGGTTGCTGTAGAGAGTCGGAAGAATTAGGAAACGCCAGGGCTTCCTCAGGGGAGGCAGCCCATACCGTGTGGCGCTCCACCTCTCCTGCCCATCTCCTAACCCTTGAAGGACCATCGCACATCAGGCCGACAGTTGCAAAGACACGTCCTTCTTCAGACGTGGAGCGGTGGTGGGAGCACTGGACTGGGAGCCTGGAGATCCAGGGCCTAGCCCCACTTGCTCACAAAGCTCACTGGGTTATCTTTGGACCAGTCACTCACTAAAGAAGGATTTGTGCCTTTGCAGCTGGTAGGCCCTGGTCCTTCATGGATGCTCCACAGGTGCTTGTTATGAGGATAAAATGGAGTGAAGGTGGACTGCCTTGGATTCCTTGCAAGGCAGGATGCAAATGTGGTTATGACTGTTAATTAGTGGTGTTTGCCTGGAGAATCTTGGCCAGTCGGCTGCCTCCTGCTTTTCTGTGCAGGGGGAAGGAGCCGCTCCGTGTACATTGGCTACAGATTATGAACCATTTAATGCAGCAGACCAAACAGCTGCATTTGATTCTGCCCTTTCGTTTTTGTGCTTTGCTCCCGTGCTTACCTGAGAAATCGCGTCCAGGGCGTATTTTGGAAAACTGCGAGCGGGTGGCGGAATGGAAGGACTGCAGCAGAACCATCGGCTGCATAAAAGTACGCCGTGTTGGCCCTTCGAGTCTGCCCAGCGTCCCCCATATCTTTTCTTGGAGCCTCATCTTGCCAGTGTGGAAAGCGGCTGAGGATGAGCTCACGGCTGGCTTCGAGGGAGACCTTTCAGAGCCGTGGCCGAGTCTCCCAGGAAAGCCTCGCCTGGATGCAGCCTTGGACCATTCCATGTGTTCAGAAGTTTGCCCTGGCCACATTTATGGAGGTCAACCTTCGGGAGAGAACCTGTGACTCGGCCTCTTTTTTAGAAGCACCTCCTGGAAGTTGACTTCCGTTCCGAGGAGCTCAGTCGCCTTGCTCTGAAGCTCCCCACACCTGCCGCTCCTTGGCTCGCCCAGGGCCTGGGACAGCCAAAAATGCAAGCAGGCGGGGCCAGGCGACTGGATGCGGATGCACCCTGGCCTGCAAGCCACGCCCAGCATTACGCTGGTGTAACAAACTGCCTCTGGCTTTTGGAAAAATCCTGGCTGGGAACTGGGACAGAATTCCATTTTATGTGGAATTGCGTCTCGCCTGTGTGAAATGTACAGCGCGCAGAATAAATGCAGAGAGTCGGTTTCGCTGATGGTGTGGTGTGACCAGTCCCAGGTGCTGAGTTTCCCTATGCGCTGCTGAGCAACCAGGGGGAAAGCACAGAACTGGTTGTGCCGGTAACTAGTTTTTCGGTCAGACGTTCTGCCAAAAGGGCACCTCCCTGCCCAGCCCTGTCCCTTGCAGAGGAAGCTGGGGTATATTTTAATTGGCATGCTCTGTTTAACACCCATGTTTTGGTGGCCCCCTGAGCCTCAGCGTGCCCCAGCTGCACCCCAAAAGTTGCCCAGCGCTCAGCTGCACTTTCGCATTGCAAGGAAAGACTTGCTGGGAAAATAGTGGTTAAAGATTCTTTCCTCGAGGCAACTCAAATGAGGTTTTGAGAAACTCCAGAGCTCTTTGGAGCAATTGGAAATGCTGGCATAGCGATCGCTTGAAAGGACGGAGCGAACAGCCTGTATGCGTTGCTCCCGCCACTGCCAGTCTGCCGACCAGTTTTGCCAAGAAAATTATTTTCCTGGGGGGCGAGTTTGCATGTCACGCCACAGCTTGGCTTCCCCGGGCTTATGCAATGTGTGAACGAGGCCAGTTCCTTTGTTATACTGATTTGACTTCCTGCAACCAGCGTGTTGATCGTGCGTTCGTGGAACACTCTTGATTTCTTCCCAGGGGGCTACTACTTGACAAGTGCGTACGGAGCGCTCTCGCTGATCAAGAATTTCCAAGAAGAGCAAGCTGCCCGGCTGCTGTGCTCGGAAGCGCGGAACACCCTCCGGCAGTGGCACAAGCGACGGACGACGAACAGAACGATCCCGTCTGTGGACGATTTCCAGGTACAGCCGATGCCCTCCAGCCAGCGCCTTTCTTGCTGCGGCAGCGGATTTGGATTGCCCGGGGCGGGGTGGGCCACGCTGCCTCCCTGCCAGGGAGCCTGAGCAGAGCTGGAGGAGGAGGGGAAGGGGAAGGGGAAAGGGAAGGTCCACTCCAGCTGCAAACGGGGGAAGAGTCCATCCTCTACATACTCATCCACCCTGTGCAATTGCCAGGTGAGGCAGGAAGTTCCCAGCCTGCAGGCCTCTTTGGCCTTCCATAGAATCACAGTATAGCAGAGTTGGAAGGGGCCATGAAGGCCATCAAGTCCACCCCTCTGCTGTTGCAGGACACCAAGTCACACCACCCCACTCAGAGGGCTGCCCAGTTTCTTCCTGAATGCCTCCAGTGCGGGAGAGCCCCCCACCTCTCCAGGCAGCTGGTCCCACTGCCGTATTGCTCTGACTGTGAGGAAGCTTTTCCTGATGCCCAGCCTGAATCTGGGCTGCCGCAACTTGAACTGGCTATTCTGTGTCCTGCACTCTGGCATCAGCAAGAGGAGATCTTGACCATCCTCTTTGTGGCAGCCTTGGAGGTCCTTCTAGAGCAGGGGTCTCAAATGCAACTTCCCTGGGGGCCGCTGGAAGTAGAGTCTGGGTGAGGCTGGGCCGCATCAAGAATCCCACCACCGTGGTGGTGGTGGGCCGCTCATCCCGCGGCTGGCCCGGGTGCCGCCGGCACTTGGAAGGCCGCAGGGCCCCTCCCCCGTGGCCCGCCCGTCCCGGCAATTGGCCCGCGGGCCGCGAGTTTGAGACCCCTGTTCTAGAGGGATGTCATGTCCTGCAAGTCGGATTGTGCCTGCCAAGAATGTCCGTCAAATGTGCAGTGTGCCGAAAAGCCACGGTGGGACTTTGGCTGCAGTCTTAGCAGGCCAGGGATGATGGGTCCCTTGTTCTTCCTGCAAGAGGTTCCCTGTGGGATCCTTCAGGGCACTGGCTGTGCCAAGTCGGTTAGGGGGATGGAGGCAGAATTATTACTTGGTGCTCTGAAACCTTTCATGCATTCAGAGCATTTCCTCCTAAATCTCTTGCTCTCTTGGTGCAGAGAGAATAGCAAGTCAAATTGAACAGCAGTTTGGCTACTATGACAATTCGGCTTTCGTGTCCTTTGAGAAGCCTAGTGGCTCATTTCACTGCATGCATTTTTAAACTTTCAGTCTTGTGTTCCACTGCATTGATTTTGTTTTGGACTTTATTCCTGATTTGCAAATTTGGGAAAAGGACACAAAATAAACATGCAGGGTATTTTTCTCCCTTAGTAACAACAGGATTGCTTGTGACATCCTGAATGTACATTCTGGCCTATATTTGAACTAGTCCTTTCTTCCGGCGACTCAAGAAGTTTCAGGACAAGCTGGTCTTCCAAGATGTGCCTTCTGCTTTCCTTCCTTCCTCCCTTCCTTCCTCTTTTCTATTTTCTTCTCTTCACCCCTCCCTCCTCCTTTTTCTCCCCCAATCCCCATTCTCTGCCTTCCCTCAGATCTATAGCATGCTTATTTCTCCCTATGGTCAGCATATTCGTATTTTCAAACAACGTTTCTCAACACACACATTTCATCCTTCTGCTAACTTTGCCTTGCAAGTTTTATTCCGTGGATCGCTTCATTGTATTTTCATCAGGTTGGATGTAAGCCACTTTAGGGTTTCTTTTAGGGACAAAAAGTAATACATAATTACTTTTTAAATAAGTAAATAAGCATTACTTGTATAGGATGCAGACAAAGAGTGAGAGAGAGGCAGGGGGTATTCTGGCAAAATGAAACATGAAAGAAACTTGGGAACAATGGCTTGGTTTGCAAATAACAAGAACTTACTCCATTCACCAGCATCTGCATTAAATGTGAAAAGCTATCCCATGCAAAATAGAGCATAGAAGTCGCATGCAGAATCTAGCACAACTGTTTCATGGCAGGAAAGCCAAAATCCTGGTCTATAATTAATCTAGCCTGGGGTGATACTCAAACTGGATTCCGAAAAACACAGAAAGTCATCTTATGGAGCGAACAACCCAAACTTCCTCATTATGGAAGGATTACGGTACTGGAGCCAGTTTGTTCCTGAGAAGCATGTCTGTTTTGCAGAATTGCATGCTGTTCGTCGGCAACACCAACAATGTGTGTGAACTTCCATAATCGCTGGCTAGTAGAGCTGTTGTTCGTGGACTGGAAAACTGTGGCTATAAAAGGATAAATTTTCCTGCTTGCTCCTGGGCCCAGCCTCCCAGGTTCTTTCCTGAAGCTTGCTGCATCACTTCATCACTGGGGCTCAGGCGATCTGGGTTCAAGCCCCCACTTGCCCATGGAGCCAACTGGTGGCTTTGGGCCAGTCACAGCCTCTCAGCCCAGCCTGCCTTGCAGGGTTGTTGTGAGGATAAGATTGAGAGGAGGAGGAGGAGGAGAATGATGTAAGCTCTTTGAGTATCTTGGAAGGAAAAAAGCCAGGCTAGAAATATAATAAATAATTAGATTAGATTGGAATTTCTTAGGCTGAAGGTATTAGCTTCATGGCATGCCAGTGAATGGACTGAGGAAGTGTGGAAGCCATTAGATAATTCCTTTTGTGCAAGCGCCAGTTAAACCAGGGTTCGGTCCAGTGTTATGACCTGCCTCTGAGCTGATAGATTTACAGCTGGGCCTTTCAGGCTTTCTATCTTCTGCCATGAAATCCACGCACACGGAAGAAGATTCTTGGAAATACTGTAGGATGTCCCTCCTATTTGGTCAGGATTTTAAGGCCTCTCTCCGGAACATACCCTGTGACTTCTTGTAGGCCTCTGTGGCAGCTGGTTTGTCCTTACCAAACACCTTCCCGAGGTAGCTTCCAGGCACTGATAGCCAGTGGAGCAACTATCTTTCCGACGGTTGAGCCCAAGAAAGATGTAAACTTTGTGGGATTTGCTGATGAGCCCTTGAATGTGAATGTTCATGCTTCCCATGTGTTTTCCCACCTGCAGAACTACCTGCGTGTTGCATTCCAGGAAATAAACAGCGGTTGCACAGGGAAAACCTTGCTGGTGAGACCTTATATTACTACGGAAGATGTTTGCCGGCTGTGTGCTGAAAAATTTAAAGTGGACAATCCCGAGGACTACAGCCTGTTCCTTTTTATTGACGACACCTGGCAGCAGCTGACCGAGGACACTTACCCCCAGAAGATCAAAGCCGAGCTCCACAGCCGACCCCAGCCACAGGTTTTCCACTTCGTTTATAAGCGCATCGACAGCGATCCGTATGGAGCCATTTTCCAGAATGACAACAGCAACCACGCTTTGTAAGGCCGACACGCTTGCTGTCGGGCTTTTAGGTCCCCGAAAACCTCCTTTCCCTGCCCGCCAGCTGTTCCTGGAATGGCGCGGTTTAGAGGGCTCTCAACCAAATGCCTCGTGAGGACGGAAACAACTCTGCTTCTCAGCTGTGCGCAACAGACACACACTCCTCGCTCGGGCTGGCTCAACAGTGCACATGCTGCAGCTGAACCGGACTTCACGGATCCATGACATCCACCAATATATTGCAATATGTCCAGCTGCATATTCACATTGTGATGGGCTTGTATCCTTATTTCCAGCACTGTTTTCAGTCTGAGTTGGCCGGACCTCTGCAAACTAGCCGCTGGGCTGTGTATTTCGGCCTCCTCGCAAAGCTGCCCAATGCCAGGCACCAGTAAACTGTTGCATAGATGGCAGCAGCCTTCTCTAAAATAGCATTTTTTATTTTACAGAAGGCGACCTTTTATATATTTCTTAAAATTTTTATAGCAGTTGCAGGTAAACTGTCGTGGTTCATTCTTAAGCTATTTTTAAGCTATAAAATATTCTATATGCATGTGATTTTTAACATTTAATATACAAACCAAATAAATCTCTTGCTGGTTTTAGAGTACTACATTGAAAATATCCGTGAGGATTTTCCTTTTGCTTTTTTCTACCCTGACTTAGGGTTCTTTTTTTAAAAAAAACAACTTTTTAAAATAGAAACACTGATAAAAGTCTATAAACAATTTGTATTTCTCACATAGGCTGCCCAAAGCTCACTACAACCCTCATGTCCCACTTTCTGAATCAAAGTTTGTGTACTGCTATCTTGAACAGATGGATATATTTAAAGAGATGGGGAATGTGAAAGAGCTGGACGTAGAAAGCAAGCTAGTGAGAGGGCTTACAGAAACTCCTTGACAAATAAAATATTCTAGGCTAGGGGATGGCGTTTAAGATGACTTAACCCAGTTTAGTTGCTCTTTAATACATGTTAACCAGCATTGTCGTATGTAGACTGAAGCTGACGATCGAGGACAGCTGATAGCAGATTGCGTTCTCCGGCGGTGCGGAGTGCCGGCTCCGCATTTGTTGGACACTGCGAAGGGACAAAACGAGGACATAAATAAAAAGGTGGTATTTCGAACCCTAGTCTGCTGGCTCAGGCTATCTGTATAAACATGAGTAAAGGAGGTTATAAAAAGTTCAGTTTGAAAGTCACAGATATTTTAGGTGTGCAAATACTGATCTGACCTCTGTTGTATTAAATGCAGCAGCAAAATGAGTTGATGCATTTAATGGTTTCATTGGCAAGTGCCATCCAATACATTTTTAATGGCTTAAAAGGTCAGTCATTTTCTTTAGGTATTTAGATGTAAATTGTTGGTTTCTCTGCATCTGAAGGCAACAGAAAACAGACGCTTCGGGTTTAGTACAGGATGGCATGGAGTGTTACTGTAATTTGCAAACCCCCACCTGCAGAAATAAGCCAACCTGCAAATGGAAAACGAGCTCATCCTGTGCTGGGTGTTGTTTTTACTTGCGGGATGTGTGTGTGTGTGTGGCATTACACAGAGAAGTAGCCAAGAAAAGTATTCCTCTGCCTGAAATTTTACGACGACTCAAATTACCTCTAGTTCCTCATGCAGGGAAGCTTTTGGGCTGCAGACTTAATTGCAGAAACGGGGGAGTGGGTCCTGTTATTCGGTGAAAATGACTGCAGGAAATGGGAAGGGTTGGGCTGTTACGAATGGAAAGACAATTTGAGATCCAGTGTGCCAGTTGGAAGTGTTCTGCTCTTCCCAGCAGAACACTGAGGTCTGGGAACTTGACCTCTTCAAAATACTTAAAACCACAGAGGTGAAACAGGGCCAGTTTCTAGTAACACAAGAGGTATTTCTTTCCAGCCTTAAGTACCGAGAGCTCTTCTGTGCTGGGTGTGACTTGGAATGAGGCAAATCTTACTCCCCAGGCTGCCGGAGCAGGGAGAAAGGCACCGGGTAGGGGATCTTTTCTGCGAACAAGTTAAATTCTCCGCGAAGTTCAAGAAGCCGTCTGGGGGAGTGCACGGTGGCTATTTTTGTATGGCAGGCTTAAGCGAAGCATCAACCGACCCAGAGGCTTAGGTAGCCGAGTCTTTAAAATTCCTGGGCAATGCCAAGTCCGTTTCTGATGGCGGCTTCGCACAATCCAGAAATTCCGGGCATCAGAGCTGGTCAGCCCGCAATGGGCAACCCGGGAACCCCTTGAATCTGCTCCTCCTCTTTGCAGGGTGTGGGGCAGAAGCAGTTGGAGGCCGGGGCGGTGAGAATGCCACTCCCTGAGAGGGGGTGCCTTCCCCAGGGGCCCCCCAAGCCTGGAGCCGGGATGAGGGCTTGATCTCTTTCAAGCTATGTGGCTTCTCTCCCGGGTTACATTCTTAACCGCGCGGTCTTCTCACTCCAGGGTGATGAGATGAATGTGGCCGCCCGGCTCTGCAAGTATGTTCTATATGTAAAGATGTGTATGTTTCCGTTGATTTGCTACATGTATTTATGTTGTATTTCATTTTGTAAATGATAAAGCAGTAGTTTTGCACAGAATACCTTGTAGTGCTTGTGTGTGTGTGGGAAGTGTTTGCACTGAAACAAATGTTTCCAAAGTCCTGATTCATTTGTTATATTTATATCCCACCTTTTTTTCCTTCCAAGAAACTCAATGCCTTTCTCCTCCTCCTCCTCCCAATCTTATCCCCACAACAACAGCCCTGCGAGGTAGGTTGGGCCGAGAGTCTGTGACTGGCCCAGCATCACCCAGCGGGCTCTGTGGCCGAGCAGGACTCGAACCCGGATTCCCGGAGATCCCTGAGCCATTTCATCCATTCTCTGCCCCAGGGCAGCTTCAGAGCCCCGGTGGAGCACCAGGGCTGCCGGTCTCAAGGGCAACGCAGACGAAAGGAAGGAGTCACATGGTTTCCTCTTCTGCACATGCAGATCTCACCTCCAATGCTGGTAAAGACCACGGGGGCTCTTTCCCTTAAGTATGTATTTTAGATGCATAAGTTGGAATCCCCTCACTTTGTAGAATCATAGAACAGAAGAGTTGGAAGGGACCATGAAAGCCGGCGAGTCCAATCCCCTGCTGTTGCAGGACACCAAGTCACACCATCCCACTCCGAGGGCTGCCCAGTTTCTTCCTGAATGTCTCCAGTGTGGGAGAGCCCCCCACCTCTCCAGGCAGCTGGTCCCACTGTCGTATTGCTGTGACCGCGAGGAAGCTTTTCCTGGTGTCCAGCCTGAATCTGGGTTGTCGCAACTTGAACTGATTATTCCGTGTCCTACACTCCGGCATCAGCAAGAAGAGATCTTGACCTTCCTCTTTCTGACAGCCTTTGAGGTACTTCTAAAGGGATCTCATGTCCCCCCTCAGTCTTCTCTTCTCAAGGCTGAACATGCCCAGCTCTCCCAGTCTCTCCTCTCAGGCAGTGTTCCCAAACCCTGGGTCATTTCTGTTGCCCTCCGCTGGACCCTTTCTAGACTTTCTGCATCTTTCTCAAATCTCAGTGCCCAAAACTGGACACAGGGTTCCAGATGAGCTCTGACTAGTGCGGAGCACAGGGGAACTAGTGCTTCCTGTGTTTTGGGAGTGATACTCATGTTAATGCCTCCCAAAATAGCACTTGCCCTTCTTCCTTCAGTGGGCAAGTCTGTTGATGCAGATCTCTGTGACTCACAGTATCCAAGTTCTCCTTTTTATCCAGGCTTTTGAAGGGCTGATGTTCTAAGAATGGGAGGAGGACGTAAGATAAAAGGTGCAAATTCCTGCAACTCCGTGTCTCTCAGGTGGATTCACAAGACCTTGGAGCTTGGGGAATGTTCGACATCCTTAAATCCAACCAAGACGCAAAGCTGATCTGATGAAATGGTGGATTGAAAAGCAGTGGGCCCTTTTAAAAGACTAGCTTTGCACTCTTTCTCCTTCCAGAAGTACCTTGGCCTTGTCCCAGAATCTATTTATAATGATCGCATGAACTTTGCCAAGCTCCTACCCAGCCTCTCATGCCGAACAAAACCACCGAATTCTTGCCACAGCTCGGATCGAACACCTAATTATTCTTCACATAATTTACTTTAAAAAACAACTTGAACAAGGGATTACAAGTGCCCTGCTTGCTGGTTTGCTACACAACTGCTCCATTGTACTTGGAATTCCAGCTGCCTCCAAGTTAGTTCCCGGTTTCGGTAACAGGCAACTAGAATGCAGTGGAGAAAGAAAAACAATGGTGGAATTTAAACCGATGCATTGGACTGCGAAACATCAAATCGGAGTGGAATTGCTTTGCCTCTTCTTAGCTGTACATTAAAAACAGAATTCCTTCTTTATTTCGGTTAGGAAAACCTGCTTCAATTTTCCGTGTTACCAAGCAGGGTCAGGGTTGGCGGGAACCTGTTTGCAACTGCATGATTTGGCAGCGGGTCGCTTGGGTTGGGATTATGGGGGCGCTTTGGATTCCCAACACACGTGTAAAAGCAGAGATGTAACGGAGGGCTAACTCTTGCACGAGCACTTGGGTCAACCTGAGAGTTGCATATGCAGTGCTCTGCTGCTTGCATCACGGAGGTGAGACGGCGGGACAGAGAGCCTGTGGGGCTGAAAGTTTCTTCAGCACATGCATTCTCTGCATTGCTATCCTCTAAAAAGAGTTCAGAGACCACCTGTCCCAGCGTCCTGCCTCCCATAATGCCCAACATGAAGCCTCTGGGAAGCCCACAAACAGGGTGTGAAGGGCTATCCCATAATGCTGTATAACTGACGTGCACAAGAAGCTGTTGTGACTGGTAGCTGTGGGCAGTTTTGGGACACCAGCCTGTAGGTTCTTGATGTCAGCTGGAGGATTACTTGGAGTTCCAGGTTTGAGAGCCTGTGATGCCAGGCATTGGCGCTGGGACCCCAAATGCGGAGCCTCACCCCACCGTGCCGGCCCCCTGAGGCTGCAAGTGTGCCTTGGAGGGGGTGGAGAGGGGAGGAGGCTGGGGCAGAGGGTTTACTTCCTGTCGCTCCCCCGGCCTCCTTCCCTCCCCAGCACTTAACCAGAGGGCAAAAATGGCCATCGGGATAGAAATCGGGACATGCAGGCGGTGTGGATCGCGGCCACCACAGCTCATCAGGGTGTGGGATCCATGGAAGGCAGGAGGAATAAGACTGGGCCTTAATGATCCTGCAAGGATTTGACTGGATGTGCTTTTGTGTAATCCAAGTTGCTTTAAAGTATCCTCACATCTTGTGGAATTTGGCGGTCCAATTCTGTGCTGCAGGACTGCCTTTCATCTGCTCTGAGCCCATCATTCCGCTCCACCGGAGGACCCCGGGTCACGAGATAAGGCGAGAGCAATCCGCTGCTTCCTGTTTTATAATCCAGCCTTTTGATGCCTCTTCCAAGCAGATGCTGTCACAGAATTCTCTCGTGTTGTATGTTTTGCAACTCCGTACACATTCGGCGCCATTAGCACATGCTGGTAGGGGATCCAGCTTGAATAGCAACTGCCAAAATTCAGGATTAACTCGGAGACACAAAAATGTGAAGCTTTTGAGAGGAGGCGTTGTGAGATGGAAGCGCAGCTTTCCAACTGTGGGGGCGAGGGGCCGCTGCACAGCAGAAAGCAGATTTCTGTAACAGCCTGATCTCAAGTCCTCTTGGGACTGACATCTGAGAAAATACGAGCTGAATTAGGTTTGCTGAACAAAGCCAGTCTTATTTCCAAGCAAACATGCCCGCACTGAGCTCAGGTTGCAGGAAGTTCAGATTCTTCTATTGGGAGCTATTTTTTTCTAGCTGCAATGCTGAAATCTCCACCCATTTGCAAGGCAGCATGAGGACACTGGCAGAAATAAAGGAACTATTTTCAAAACAGCAGCTGCGTCAGTCTGTTAGAGAAATACCGTGGAGTTTTAAGACCCCTTGAAAATGCACTGTCATTGTTTTGCATGTATTTGAGCATTAATGGAAGGCTCAGAATGTTTTGCACATAATTCCCCTTCGTTTTTGCTGCTTATTTCCACTGCCTGCCATTCACCATACCTGTGCATGTACTACAGATATTACGTAGAAAGACACACAAACATGTGAACACACACCTGTGAATTTAGGGTAACACTTCAAGTACCTGGGCACATCTATTGCAGCAAGTACTTTTGTGGAATATTGTGGTCCACAAAAGATGGGTTGTTATGTGCCGGCAAGTTGTGTCTCATGGCACCTCCATGAAAGAGCATCTTCCAAAATGCCGTGTCTCATTCACAGCTCTGTTCAGCCCTTTCCAATTTAGGGCTGTGACTTTCTTGATGGGTTTTTTCCTCATCTTCCTCCTTTTCCTCCTGCCTTTGACTTTCCCTGGCACTACAGTTTTCTCTAGCCAGTTTTGCCTTCATTTTTGTCAGTTTTGATTCTACCAGAAGAAATTGTAACCTGCCAGCCCAGTGAAGGCAGCTGTGGTGCTTTTAGGATGGTGGGTAGCTTGCCAGCCTTGCACCCACCCACCCTCTCCCTTTTGCATGTAACCGCAAGCTCCAGCTTGTGTCTGGCGTGGTTCAGATATTCAAAGGGGGCTCCCGGAGAAGGGCCTCTGCCCCAGAGCTTAAGGGGTGGGCAGGCACATATGGAAGGAGATGCTTCTGGTAACCAGTCCCTGAGCTGTTTAGGGCCCTAAGCTGTTTAGGGCTTTATAGGTCATCACCAGCACCTTAAATTGGGCCCTGGCTTCAACTGGTAACCAGTGTAGGTGGAAAAGGACTGGCGTTATGTGCTCATACCTGCCGGCCCGTTAACAACCTGGCAGCTCGATTCTGGACCAGCTGAAGTATCCGGACCGTCTTCAAGGGCAGCTCCACGTAGAGCGCATTACAGTAGTCCAGTCGGGAAGTTACCAGGGGATGGGTCACCACTGCCAGGCCCTGCCCATCCAGGTAGGGGTGCAGCTGATGAATTAGCCGAAGCTGGAGGAAAGCGCTCCTCACACAGCCGCCACCTGGGCCTCCAGGGACAGCTCCGGGCCAAGGAGCACTCCCAAGCGGTGCGCCCTGCCCTTTAGGGGGAGAGCGACCCCGTCCAGGACAGGGTTGAAAAGGCCTACCTGGGAGGCAGGGCTGCCTGCCAGGAAGTCCTCCGCCTCGTCTGGACTAAGCCTCAGTTTATTGGCTCTCATCCAGTCCAAATTACGCCACTGAAATCCCGAGGCCCGGAAGTGATTTTGGCCTGGAAAGACGGTGTGCCCCGGTCCGCTCTGGTACCCAGAAGGAAGACCTGTGCTTGGAGTATTCCCAGGCCCCCAGGAGCAGCCATCCTGGGCCTCTGCAGCACACCGCCAAAGCTGCGGCGGCCCTGGAGGCGAGCCCATTTAGGGTGGTGTGCGCGGGCTTGCACACTCGCACAACTTTAGGCTGAGATTCGGGCGAGGACTCCAGGGCAGAAACCATCAACAGGTGCAATCGCACTGCCAGGCGCTGAACGGGGAGGAAGGATGTCTCGCGCCGGCTGTGCCCTTTGGCTTGCCCACGCCAGCAGGTTTCTCTGCCCAGCACAAACACCCCTGGTAGAGGCACTCCGTTCGCCACAGGACGGCCACTTTTTGCTTTCCTTCCTCCCTCCCTTCCTCATTTCTATTTTCTTCTCCGCTCCTCCATCCTGTGTCTTCCTCCAGCTCTGCAGCATGCTTATTTTCCCTAGGGTCAGCATATTCGTATTTCCAAACGACGCTCCCAGCGCACACATTTCATCCCTCTGCTGACTTTGCCTTGCTTGCTTTATTCTGCACATTGCTTCACTATATGTGTATTGGGTGGGTGGAAGGTACATTAGGGTTGCTTTTTGGGCCCCACAGCAACATATAATTACTTCTCCAAACAACTAAGGTAGCATTACTCGTGCAAGGTGCAGATAGAGCGAGAAAGAGAGAGAGAATGAGAGAGGGAAGGTGAGGCTGCAATAAACGCGGCCGTCTTCAGGGCGCCACAAGACGCTTCGCTCCAGGAGCACTGAACCCGGCGGACCCGCGAGCCGAAGCCTCCGTACCGCCAGGCCGGGCTGTGCGCACCCAGCGGCGCCGATCGCGGCGAGGAGGGCCACTCCCACCCTGAGTAGCTCTATGTTCCGCGCGAGGCGAGGCGTGGCCGAGCTGCCGGCTCGCCCGCCCGCCCGCCCCTCCGCGGTTGCCCGGCAACCGCGTGCGCGCAAGCGATGCCGGGACCGGCGGGAGCAGCGCTTCCGGGGCGCGACTTCCGGAGACGGCCGCTCGGCCCGCGGACGAGCCATGACTTCGCTGCGCGCCTTCACCTGCAACGACCTCTTCCGCTTCAACAACATGTGAGGCGGCGTGGGCGGGCGCGGGGATCCTGCTGCCTCCCCCCGGGCCCCGGGCCGGCCCGCGTCCCGCTTCCGTAGCGCTGCACCCGCGCCAGCTTGTGTGGGGGGCGGGGCACGGGTGGCCTCGATTAAAAGGAAAGAGGACCCCCCCCCCCCCCGGTCCCTCTCCTGTGCCTTCAGTAGCTATTAAGAGCCCGGTGCGGTAGCAAGCTGGGCACGAAGTCTTGCGCGGGGAGGGGTGAGATCTCCCTATAAGCACCTCCAAGGTTGTCCCAACGGGGAACGGCCGGGTCTCGTCTTGCTCATAAGGAATGGGCAGCTCGGGTTGCGATAACCCGGGTTCAGGCTAGACAGCAGGAAAAGCTTCCTCGCAGTCACAGCAATAGCACAGAGGAAGCAGCTGCCTGGAGGGGTGGGGGCTCTCCCGCGCTGGAGACATCCAAGAAGAAACTGGGCAGCCCTCTGAGTGGGGTGGTGCAAACTGGTGTCTTGCAATAGCAGGGGGTTGGGCTCTCAGAATCATAGAACAGTAGAGTTGGAAGGGGCCATGAAGGCCATCGAGTCCAACCTGCTGCTGTTGCAGGACACCATGTTACACTTGAGGGCCTTCTGGCCCCTTCCAACTCTACTATTCTGTGCGTAGCAAAAACTGTTTTTTGTTAGATGACGGATAAGAAATGACCACCAGAGATACAAGGAAAATTTCCTTACTGTTTAAGCAATATGACAGTGGGACCAGCTGCCTGGAGAGGTGGTGGGCTCTCCAACACTGGAGACATTGAAGAAGAAACTGGGCAGCCCTCTGATTGGGGTGATGTAACATGGTGTCCTGCAGCAGCAGGGGGGTGGACTCGATGGCCTTCATGGCCCCTTCCAACTCTACTGTGATTCTATGAATCAAGGCATGGGAGAAAAAGTCTGAGCCACACCTGCGGTATTCTCCCCATGTGTGTATGTGCAATTTGCAAAGTTGGGATTTGAGTTCTTTCTGGGGAGCCAAGCAACTAGAAAAGGCTTGGCATGTGCAGTTGCTTTTAGCAACTACTGGATGACCAGAAAGCAGGAAATCAAATGTGTTGCAGGTGGAGAGGAGTTTTTGTATCTGTCTAACTAGGCTGCTGTTAAAGGCATAGCTGTAGCAGTCAGTTGAAAAAGTTGGCATTCTTATTTCAGCTTATCCTGAATAGCATTACCTCCAGGATCTCTTGGAATAAATTTAGTAGTAGTAATCATAATCATAAAAAAACTGAAGGGTAAGAAAAAACGGGATGTAAATCTAATAATTAATCAATGGGGTGCTGGAGCTTGCCTTTGGCTATTGCTAGGCCAGCCAATTAGGGGACTGGGATTAAAGGGAGATGTTGAAAGGATTATCTCCCCACCCCGGTCATAAGGTCATAAATGAGAACCATCTTGGCTTCAAGCCTCTCTCCCTTGTCCTTCTCAGAGTGTTTAACCAGTACTACTTTTTTCCCACAGCAACTTGGATCCTCTCACAGAGACTGTATCCTTTTAAAGTGTAACTTTAAACTGTATGTCTGGAGTGGGCTAAGAGCGATAACTGAGGACCTTTGCTTACATTAAATTACTACAAAACTATGCTTAACAGTGAAAGATGTTTGTCAGGGAACTGCAGCCGATTTCAAGAGCTCTCAAGTGTACCCACAGAATGTAAATATTTGCACGGACGTGGATATTTTAGGCCTTTTAAGAGCATTCCATGGAAAGGGCATGTAAGAGCTTTAGATTCTCTAATAAGAGATTGAGTTACTTACATGTTGTTTTAAGTATTTCTAGGCCACCTTTCAAGGCAGGAGCCTTTCCAGGTCAGTGTAGAAGAATACATTTCACCTAGCAATTTAAATAATTAATAGATACAGTAATAAAACAGCAAGTATTCCAATGAACGGACTCCTGACTTAAGACAAAACTTGCAGGACAACTGCAGTTATAGTCCAGTCTCATAAAAAGAATCAGAAATGGAATATCAAAGAGTTAATAACCAGTTTAGTTACCTGCAGCAAGAATAATAATAGCAAAGAATTGGAAGGAGAAACAGGATTTCCAAAAAAGCAGATGGTATAAAGAAATCTGGAATATAGCTGTTAACAATAAATTGACATGTGGAATTAAGGTGGACAAAAGGACTGACACATAAGAATGAGTTTAATGATATTTGGGCATTGTTTATTGAACACATATTAATACAAGGAAAAGGCATCAAACCTCCAGGTGACTTAATGCAATTTTGGATGGAAGGGGCTAGTCCTGAAGAGAGGAAGCATAGAAGAAAAAGTTAAAAAGAAGGAAATTAATCATTATTAGGGTCAGGGGGTTCACCAGTTGTGTTCGTAGGCTTTCTTTGGTTGGTGTTAATTGATTTTTTTGTATTTGTATTGTTGTTAATATTTTTATTAAAAAACATGAAATGTGGTTAGGTATAGAGTTAGGTTTGTTTACATACTAGAGAAATGTTGCTAACACATAAGAGAAATTATCTACTTTTTTGTTGAAGTCGAACTTTTCTTTAACACAGAATGTCCATAGTATGGAATTCCATTTTACTTACAGTACCTGGCTCATTGGCCAGAGTATTTTATTGTTGCGGAAGCACCCGGTGGAGAGCTGATGGGCTACAGTAAGTAGAACAGTCATTTTTTGTCTTGCCCTCAGCCCCAGGCAGCATGGGCAGTGGACAGGCACTCTGGAAAACTGTAGCCCGAACCATCATCATCATCATCATCAGGTGGGGGAAGGTGTTGCATGCCCTAACACCTGTATACTTTATTAGAAACAGCATGTGCTTCTTCAGAAGTTTTTCTCATAGACAAACATAGCCCAATATAATGGATTCTTGATGAACCAAAACGCTTATTAGTTAAGTAGGCTTCAAGCTCTACTTGGAAGCAGACCCCATTAATTTCAGCATAACATGCTTAGGAGCTTAACTTCTGTTCTTCTGTAATCCTGCCCCTATAAATGTACTCCCCCTTGAGTTTATAGGTCAGGGAGTTAATCTGTTTGGTTTCATTTATGGCCAGAGTTACACATACCTCCTAGGAGTGGTGGGAAGGATAATCTGTCATGGGCCGGTCTGACAAGACAGTGGTGCACTTCCCCTGGGATGGTCACAGTCTAGCCTAAATACGCTAATTAACTCTCTGGTGTTTCCTTTGCAGTCATGGGAAAAGCTGAAGGTTCTGTAGCCAGGGAGGAGTGGCATGGCCACGTTACTGCCCTCTCTGTTGCACCTGAATTTCGGAGGCTGGGTTTGGCTGCCAAACTGATGGAGCTGCTTGAGGAAATATCAGAAAGGTGAGGCTAGTTTATTAAGTCGAAGAATCGGTATATCATGCTGTGAACAAAGTTGGAACACTCCTCCCTCAGTGGTGTTTGATTTGCTGAAATTCCTTTTGATTAGTCAGTGAAGGCAGTTGAAGGCCTTGTCTTGATTATGTGGAAAAGCATTGGAGGCTGTAAGAAAAACTCGAGGAAAACTTTTATTGAGTCAGGAATGCTCAATAAGGAATGTCTTACATTTTTGGCATGGCTGAGAGATTAACTGGTTAACTAAATCGAATTAGTTAAGGGACCGAGAATGTCTTTGTTCAGGTGATCCCAGCTGAATGCAAAAGCAGCACAAAGGGCCCTTCGCTGCACTGGGGTATTCTGACCCTGAATCACTTCTTTTAGGAGCAAGCATCTCCTGATTTGTAGTAACAAGCACCACATTTTAAAACTGACGGTTGTCTTTACTGATATTTGCCTTATACAAAACTTTCTTAGACATGGATTGTCATGATGTCTGAACTGAACCAGTGCTGCCCTGCTTCTTCTTACCATGCTATGTAACACCAGTAAGCTATTCTGTTTTCTTTTTCTTTCTTTCTGCAGAAAGGGTGGGTTTTTTGTGGATCTCTTTGTAAGAGTTTCAAATCAAGTGGCTGTCAACATGTACAAACAACTAGGCTACAGTGTATATCGGACAGTGTTAGAATACTACTCGGCCAGCAATGGGGAGCCCGATGAAGACGCTTATGGTAAATGTATTCTATGTTTACAGAATATTTTGGTCATGTTTGGTGATTGAATTGACTGTGTACACACTTCACACGTGCTTGAAACTCTTCATGCCTTTTCGTAAATGCATGTGAAACTTGGTAACATCTCAATTGACCGGCCCATGGAAGGGCACAAGTTCTCCCAAATGGATGGGCATTTAAATTGCCATTCCCCATGAGTACAAAGTAATTGAAACACTGAGGCTTGAAAGGGAGCGCTCTTGAGCTTCGTCTGTCAGGAGCATGGCGGCTGGGGGCAGTGATGCTCACTGCACGTTTGCTGTCGCGCTGAGGCAAGGGGCGGTGCTGGCAGGCAGCTTGTCGTCTCGTTGCTGAGCTTGTTCTCCAAGCTGGAGTGGAGGTTGCTGCTGAGCGGGGGGCTATTAGGAATGCAAAGGTAGATTCAAGAATGGAGACTGCATTTCCCTAGGGGGTTGTTGTGAGCAGGAAAACCAGTGGATACTTTTGGCAACCTGCTACCTGGCGTGATTCTTGCTTGCTCTGTTAATGTGTGCCATGGCGTTTATATGGGCTGACCAGAGCTCACCTTTAACTTTGAGCTTTTTGCAGTTAAAAGCCTGAACCTTTGCAGATAGAAAAGGATGTGTGTTCTTCCTCGTATAGTGGGGAGGGGAAGCGGAAGAAGTCCATACTGTGGGCTCTGGGAGTGAATGACTGTCCCAAGGTGCTTGCTTGGGCGATTCTTTGGTTTTTGGTACTGTTAGAAGATCAAGCAGGTGTTTGCTGCTTTTGGCAATGCCCTCAGTTTACCTGGATTCCCTCTTCAGCATCTCTGCGAAGTGGATTTCTTGCATTCGGCTAAATGCAAATACCATTTTCCATGAAATTCATCAGCCAATTATGCAAGCAATTCAAGGCGCGAGCTGTTTTGATTTATTGATAGTTCACTTTTTACCTACAGCTATCTTTCTGCAGACTACTTTACTGAAAATTTGTGGTATGACCCTCTCAGGCACCCATACCATAGATCATGTTGCAAATATGTTTGTTTTTTTATAGATATGAGGAAAGCCTTGTCCAGAGATGCAGAGAAGAAATCAATTATACCATTACCACATCCTGTCAGGCCGGAAGACATTGAATGAATTGCGTGTGGCTATTTTTGTACCGTACACTCAACACCCGTAGGCACCTGGACACACTTTCAAAGAATGTGGCAAGCCTTTGTTTTGAATGTGATTGGAAGCCCTAGAGCAATGAGGGGACACGGCGCAGGTTTGAAGGAGTGGTTTCATCTTTAGGTGACATGCTTAAATCTTCTCAAGCCTCTGGAGCAAAAAAAACCCAAACAAAAACTCACAATGACAATATTTGTCACTTAGGGGTCGATATTTAAACCATCACTAATTCTTCTGAAATATTAAATTATTTCCAAGAATGCAGTACAGAAAAAACGACTGCTTGTTTTGACTGGGCTCCCTGCCGTCTGTGTGAAGCGTGCGTTGGGATTGGAGTGTTAAAGTAAATATGGTGAAAATCAGCATGGAGAGCAGCTGAAAGCAAAGCGTGTGCCTCGTTTTCCGCTAAGGCGCATGCATAATCCGCAAACTCATTCCACACTTGACTTTTTGGGGGGAAATGTTTAATTGTATTCAGAGACAAAAATTCTGTAAAAAAGGGGAACGGGAATGTAAAAGAGGAATCAGGCACTACTTTCGTCAACGTCCTTGTCAGGATCTTGCTCTGGATTCTCTTCCTGTTGCTGCTGCTTCCAGAGTTTAGCCATCGCGAGCAGTTTGAGGTTGGGCTGATTGGCAGCATCCTCCGGGAAGATGTAATCATAGTACTCTTCCCAGCCAGCATCCGACTAGAGTCAGAAAAGGGAATGCCATGAGTCATGCTTTTATGCGTCTCCCTATTTACCACTCTGAGTTTCCCCAAGTGCTGATATTTCCACGCAAGCTTGCTGAAACATTTAAGTACGCAACGGATCCTGCGTCTGAATCAGCACACTTTTCACTACGAGTTGGGTTTAGGATTTGCTTTCCAAGGAAAGCGCCTTTGCCTGATTTGGGGGGCAGCCCCTGCATCCCATGGCAGAACTCGCCCCACTCGGTATGGCTCTCTGACACTCTGCACAGTAGTTTCAGGGGGCTGGTGGGGCTGCATACACAAGAGTAAGTCTGTTTCTGGCAGCCCGGGCACGTGTGCCTAAATCTGGCTCCAGCCCCGATCATGTTGTGCGAACATTTTAAAGCCGCCCTAGAATTGAAGAGTCACTGCAGCCCGCAAGATCAGGGGGCTGTTTATTTAAATGCTTCCTCTGCCAGAAGCAGATGCCAAGAGAAAACTCCTACTAGGGAGCAGCAGTGACTCTAGCAAGGCAGGGAGCTTTTATGCGATTTGTTAGAAGGCTGAGCGATGTTTAATTTCTTTTTAATACCAAGAAATGGCTCTGCTGTGAAGAAGCACTCCAAATAAGTCAACTGCACACTCATGCTTGCGACTCACATTCTACAGACTGCACAAAGGCTTATTGTTAGATTTGGCCGACTGAATAAAACTGGCCCCATTCCTGGGCCGAGATGTGGGAGGTGGGGAGCCCCTGCATTTTCAGATGTTGATGGTCTTCAACTTCCATCATTGCTGACCATTTGCTAGGGTGGCTGGGGTCGATGGAAGATGGAGTCCAGCAGTCCCTGGAGGGCCATAAACTCCACACCCCTGGCTTAAAATTCAGAAAACTTGAAACACTGCCTATTATGGCATACAAGCACTAGCATTTCCCCTCTCAGCTACTTTTGCCTTCCTAGTATTAATTACATTAAAAGAACAACCAACAGTGCAAAGCAAGCGCTGTAGGCCCATGCTCTTACCCCATCTTCAGCCTGAACTTTTCTCCTCTTCTTAACTTTCTCTGGCATGAGCTTTTCTACCCGCTCTTTGCTGGAGTCTGTTCCAAATTCTTCTTCGAAGTTTTTCCAGGATTCCAGAAGCATAAGTCTCTCTTCTTTCTCCTCACAATTTCTCATTGTTTTGTTAGCCTCTTCATATACTTGCCGGCATCGCGGCAAGCTGTCGTCTTTCTCTGCTGAGAGCTCAAACTGAGCAAAACTGATCCAGACCTGGAACCACAGAGGTTGCATTTTACTTTGACCGTTAGACGTAAACATTTAGAGCCGACTTCTGGCCCTTCAAAACAGCACAAGAGAAGTTTGTGCCATTGCATCTAGAAGCGAATCCAACTTTGCCTAACCACACGCATACCTTGACGTGCTGCGTTCGCTGAAGTAATCGCCGATAAAGGTTCCGTGTGTTCTCGTACTCTTCTTGCTCAATTTCAAAGTCGATGTAAGATTTCCAAAGAACCTAGGCGAAGAGAATGGAGGTTAGCTCTTCAGAACAGTTTTTGTGAAGGGCTTGTTAGCAGCAGTCTATATAAACACACCTCTGATCCAGTAAAGCCAACATTTACACACACACGGAGGTTTCTGTGTGCAGTTAAATTACAGTGTGGAAAAGGTGGGTGCAGCTTGTATATGAAACAATTCCACGTGCTGATGCATTAGATCCAGATCTGTCCAATGGAAGGAAAGCTCTGCTCTCAGAAGCTGCCTCTGCCAGATTTTGGGGGACGTTGCCTCTCACCTGGACCACAACTCGCCCCACTCACCTCTGGGCAGTCCATTCTGACTGGCCCAGTGGCAGTTGGCTAAACGAGGATCCAACCCATGGAGTGATCCCTCTTTCAGACAAAGTGTTGCCAGGCAAACTGAGAGCCCCTCTTACCTCTGGCATGTCCAGTCTTGGCTGGCCAATAGCCAGTTCGTATATCGCTCGGGCCCTGTCAATATCGCCGAGAATGGTCTCTAGCTCAGCAAACTTGATCCACGACGTGCAGTTTTCAGGTGCAAACTCTAGAAACTTCTCATATAGTTTCCGGCAACGATCAAACTCTCGCAGCTGCAGCTCTAGTTCGATGTAGCCCTTGAATAGTTTGTTTTTTGGACATTTACCTATGGATGTTCCCTGTAAAGAAGAGAGCCAGAATTTGCTTCAGGCTTGTCAGAGAAAGACCACGTGTGCCTGCAAACAAGTGGTGACATGCTTGTGTTTTTTGAAGCCTTCCAGAAATTGCAATGGATGCCTGACACGATCACATTCGTGACATTCCTGCTTGTGCCCCGAGAGCAGGACCTGCTTCCTGGATCGGTAGTAAAATGCTGGGCCTGCGGTCTGGAAACGTCAGGTCTGGACAAAAACATAGGGGAAAAAAGGCCAGACCCCTGGCGCTGCAGATCAGTGGGGGTGTCCGATCAGACAAGCGGCCTGTGCCTCTGAAAAGGCCAGCCTGGAGTGGCAGCTCTGCAGTTAATGGGTGGGTTCAGACCACCTTGGGGTCAATGTTGCCTGGGGTCTCCCGCTGTGCCTCACTGGACTGGGCACAGCCGAGGCCTCGGGCACCGAGTCCACCTGCTGCTACCCCGTGGGGCACTTTGAGCAGCCGTCACCTGCCTCCTCCTCTCAACAGGCGATACCCAGCTGTCATCCGCCTCTGCACAGGGGTAAGTATGGTGTGGGGAACTGAGAGTGGGGGGGGCACAGGAGACCTGCAGCGCCACCGTGGACAAATGGCCCCTTCTACTTGACGAGCTGCTTACTCAGCAGAGTGCGGGGAGGGCCGCTTCCGTTATCTCCACCCCATATACAGAGGAAGACCAAAAGGCATTTAAAAGTATCTGCTCCCCACAGAAAAGTTGCCTTCTCTCCACCACAAAGGAAATTACCAGGATAGGTACTTTACTTACCAGCGCGCGTCTGGCATACTTGAGATTCTTCTGTCTTATTTCAAACTGGGCATACAGCAGCCATATCTTGGCAAATGTAAACTTGGAGCAGGGGAAGGAATAATAGAAAGATTTTGTTAATTTCCATTTTCAGTTGAAAAACAATACTTCCAATCCAAACTGAAAGAGTTCGGGCTAAGGTTGCCAATCCTGGGCCCGCTTAGGTGCTTTGCCATAGAAAACTTGCCCCACACGGTTTTTATTGAAGAAGCATCCAAACATTTTCTTGAGATAAACAGGATTTCCAGTGCATTTCAAGCACATTTTATTTGCAACTGTTTCATCTTCAGCAGCACTACAGGCCTCATCTGACAGCAAACCTCACTGAATTTGAATAAGCACTTCGAAACAAAGTTAGCCAGAGAGCCTTCGCTATTGGGTGGTATAAAACTGAATGAAAGAAGGAAGCCCACGCAGGACTGCGCTATGTCTAGTGGGCTGTGTGGGTTGCAGCTAGGATTCAGGAGTCCTCCTGTGATGACCAAGTGATTGCATCATATCTGAGCCCAGAAAGAGCAGGTGAAAACATTTGCAACTGATTCATCTCCAAGCTTCTTGATCAACATACTGTAGTTGGAGGATGGCACACACTGAAGAAATCATGCAATACAGAAAGATCACTGAAACTTCTAATTATGACATTGTGGACATGGTAGGATTCCGATACAAATTTTAAAAACTGAATTTGCCTCTGGATGAGGCCTTGGGCCGCCTACTCTTGTCAGTGCATGTACTCAAGGAAGGACTAAATCTGGATCCAGCCGTTGTCTTGCCTGCTCTTCTTGTGACAGGCTCGTGCAATCTAGAATGCTTCTTGGAAGGCATTCTGCAGAGTTCCATGCAACTCTTACAGCTTGCATACTTTAAAAGTTACCCAGTAGGGAAGAAACTGCACTCCATTTTAATTTTCACAACAGCCCTGTGAGGTAGGTTAACCAAGAGTCCACACCTGGCCCAAGGTCAGTGAGCTTCGTGGGTGAGTAGGACTAGAACCGGGACCTCTGAGGTCCCCCGCCCAAGACTCTCACCATCACATGACTTAGGCCAGTGATGGCGAGCCTTTCAGAGATCGAGTGCCCAAACTGCAACCCAAAACCCACTCATTTATCACAAAGTGCCAACGCTGCAATAAAACCTGAACACTGAGGTTTCAGTTTAGGAAAAAAAAACAACTCCACTCTTTTTGTCTTAAAAGAAAAACACAAGAACAGAGAGAAGGAGCCATGTCCACGCTCAGCGCCCCCAAGTCGGGGGATGCCGGGCTTGCTCCCTCCTTCGCTCCTTGCCCCCAGGCCAGCCACCGGGAATGCCGCAGGAGCTTCGGCGGCGCTTGAAAGTTTGCCGGGGGGATGGAATGCGGGCCGGGGGAGACCTAAACTGAAGGTGAGGAGAGGCTATTGCTGATCCCTTCCATGCTTTCGTTGGGATCTTCCTCAAGGTGCCCCATGGCGCTTCCGAGCCTTGGCGAGTGGGATCAGGTGGGGAGGGGGGTCCCTGCCACGCGCCCACCCCTCTCGCTTCGCAGCAGTTCCAGCCTCCACTTTCCTTGTTTTGGCCTCCCTCCCCAGGAAGCGCCGTAACTGATCCTGGCTGCCTGCCCTCTCCTCCTCCTCGCTGCAGCTGCTGCTCTGCCACCTCGACCCCATCGCTCGCTCGCTCCCTTCACCCAACTTCCCCCATGGACACCGGTGCCACAGGCACAGCCAGGTCCTGCCACTGCACCAGGAGGGCGGCTGCTCACATGCTGCAGGCCGGGAGGAGGAGGAAGAGGAGGCAGGAGGAGGGCGCCGCCGCCAACACTTGGCATGCCTGCTTGCTGCTCACCCGCCCCCTTCCTGGCACACCCGCCATGGCTGCTGTGCCTGCCTCTGGCCACCTGTTTGGCATCGCCTCTTGCGGCGAGCCACGGCTAGCGAGTGACGTGTTGCCTGGTGCCGTTACTCTTTTCAAATATGCGCGTGGCTGCTGGAGCGATGCAGGGGCGACTTGGCTCGCGTGCCAGCAGGGAGGGTCTGCGTGCCCGCTGTGGCACGCATGCCATAGGTTCGCCATCACTGATTTAAGGCTCTCGGGTAGGAAACATCAAGATGAGATCATGGGGCCGTCAGTTCCCTCTATCTATTGATTCCACGCACAAGACAGAATGTAGTACCTTTTTGTGCGGAATGAGTTCAACACATGCTTGATAAACCTGTCTCGTTCGCTCTGGATCCTGCGAAGAAAGACGTTCATCATTACACTGTGGGAACACAGGCTTCCAGGCAATTTTAATTCAAAATGCCACCTAGAAATAAACAACACCTTCCTCTCTCTGTCCGACTATTTAGATCTGCCTCCAAAAGCCCAGCCCTCCCACTTACCAATCTCCACTAAAGCCCTCCTCCCTCTCTCCAACTCCACGTCTCCTTGCTCTTTGGGTTGCTATGTGCCATCAAGTCATCTCTGACTTAATGAGGACCCTGTGAATGAAGCCCTGCAAAATGTCCTGCTCAGCTCTTGGAAACTTGAAACTTGGGCTTCCCCTACAGGATCAGCCCATCTCATCGCTGGCCCTCCTCTGTGTCGTCCGCCTTTCGCGCTTCCTAGCATCATTGTCCTCTGCAGTGGGTCTCGCCTTCTTAGGAGGTCCCTGAAGCGCCATGGCTTCCATTTCATCATTTCTGCTTCCAGGGAAAGTGTTTTGCTGAGGCAGTCAGGGCACAGTTACTGTCCTACAAATTAGAACTGAATGTCTGGAAGGTACGACGCCATTGCTTCAAGTGCTTCATTGGCTTCTGATGCATGCCTGGGCAGAATTAAAAACCCTCTGGCGCCCTTCATGTGATGGGGCCTGGATCCTTGGGGGACTGACTGGGTTTGCACAACGTGGCAACCCTTCACAAGCAATCAACCATGACCGGCTGATATATTGTGTGAACTGGCATTGCTTCCCACAGGGCCAATTTAACATGGGTTGATCCACAAGCTGCTTTGATGCTCAACCGCTTGTTCTAAGGGACGGGGGTTGTCTTGTCACCCGAACCCAGCCGACTGCTCAGAGCACCTGTTCTACCACCTCCCGCTGCATCTTCAAGTCACCTGCCCCCCGCTTCCCACAAGGATTCACCCTGGGAAAAAGCAGGTTTTTAAGTAAACAATGTCACTGGTGCACTCCTTGGAGAATTTATATTGCATCATCATTAGCCCCGTGTCACGTGTATAGTTGCATCCATGCTGAAATGGGATAGGCACCAATACAGACCCCCATCCCACCCCCACCCCGGGCAGGCTGCTGCTTCCCACTGCTGGTAGCTGAGTCCTGTTTAGACTGATACACTCTTTTGTTGAAAGTATTGGAAAATACCCTGGAATTTAAACTGAAAGGCAGCAAATAATTCCCAAGTTCTGCTGACAAAGCCCAATCTATTTGAAATAATAACAAAATTCTGCTCTCAAAGCCCTATTTTGCTATTCATATAACCAAAGAAAAGACACAATTGTGGGATTACTTTCTTTTACCTTCGCCTCTAGTTCTTCATAGAGCGCATAATTGATCCACAGATAAATGTACCTCTTCCAATGTCTCTTTTCTTGAATTGGAGGAACATTGGCAATGGCCCGTTCATAAACTTCACGTACAGCGTCGGGATCTGCATCACTTTCCACAAGACGCAGGTAATCGAACCAGGCATCATAATTGTGCGGGTTAACCTTTCAGGGAGGACAAAGGACACCTTCAGAAGGGCAGGAATAGCAAGTCTCCTCTTGCTTCTATGTAAAACCAGCAAAATGCCAGTGATGATCAAAACAGGGCTCTCAGCACTGCATTTCCTTTTTAAAAAGCGTTCAGTCTATGCCACTAGCCCTGCTGCCAGCCGTCTTTAGCTGCAGAGTGATCACTGCAACAAACAGTTTCCGAAGTCTAAGAGGGCAGTGCCATTGTTTAAAATGGACGTTTTTCTAACCCATAAAAAGGTAAAAGGTTTCCCCTTGACATTAAAGTCCAGTCCTGCCTGACTCCAGGGGAAGGTGCTCATTTCTTTTTCCTGGCTGAGGGAGCCAGTGTTTGTCCGCAGACACTCTCCATAGTCATGTGACCGACATGACTAAACACCGAGGTGCACGGAACGCTGTTACCTGCCCACCGAAGTGGCACCTTTTCATCTACCTGCATTTGCATGCTTTCAAACTGCAAGGCTGGCAGGAGCTGGGACGGAGCAATGGGAACTCACCCTGTTGTGCAGATTCGAACCGGCGACCTCCCGATCAACCAGCCCAGCAGCACAGCGGTTTAAACCACTGCGCCACCTGCAGTAACCCATATAGAGAGGAAAACAGGCTTTAAAAGATGTGGATACTTTCTGGTACCTCTAAGGTAAGTGTGCATGGAGATGTGTCAGAAGGGTCCTTGAGGGAACGCAGGTTCCGTACCCTGTGTTGCTCCTTGCTCTTCCCCACAACTAGCAGAACTAGAACAGTTTGCACAATAAACGCCACAAAAAATTATCCGGCTTAAAAGAAGCCATGCAGGCCTGCATACAGGCTGCTTAACTGAGCTTGTCATGGCACTATCTGAATTCGCAATAACCACGTGAACATGCTTTACTTGGGTACTCTTTGAAACTTCAGGTTGGAGGGACTTTTGCTTACAAGTAAGGACGGTGACACTCTCCCCTGTTCTTAAATGAATGGGGAGAACAAAGCTAGAGCGCCTTAATTAGGTCAAGTTCCCACTGATGTTTCCCTATTTTAGCCAGTCCGCACCCTCCGCCCACTGGTATTCCAGAAACAGTACCAAGAGAACTGTGATAAAAGGGTAGGGACATTTGCTCCCTTGTTGCCCCTGCTGTTCGAACATGGCACTCACTTTCACTTCTTCTTCATACTGGAATCGCCTTTTGCTAACAATAATATCCTCAATTCCCCTCCGGTCCCCAAACTTCTTCTCAAAAATGGTGTAATTTTTGAAGAGCTCCTGAGCCTCATGCTTTGGAATTCTGTCCAGGGCATATTTGTAGATGACTCTCACTCGTTCAAACTGGAAAAGAAAAAAAGAGACCAGCTTAGGAACAAGGGGGGTTTGCTTGGCATTATGTATGTTCTGAGACTCTTGGGCACATGGTTTTCTGTAAAAGGTGGCAGCTGCAGGGAAAGGCCTCTGGCTGAGAACTTGTACAGCAAACAGAACTAGGCCAGGTGAAGGAATGGGCTAACTCCATATAATGTAGGCCCTGGAACCAGACTATTTTTGCTCAAATATTTTTGCCTCATTTTACACAAGCAGGGGGCTTCACAAAACCTTTTCTTATTATAGTCTAGTCCCAGATACTGGGACAACAGACAAATAGGCACAGGACACAATATTTAAGCAATTTATCTGAAGTCAGTATATAACTGAAATCCAAGTCTGATTTCTGATAAATGAATGTTTGAGGTGGGATGTTGGGAACACCAGATTCCATGCTAGCTGCAACCCTCCTTGGAATGCAGAACCTGGCACCGTTATCCAAACTGGACCACTGCAACGCACCTTTCATTGGGCTGAAAAGCTGCAGGTGGCACCAGCGTGGCAGTCTAGATTCTTCTGGAGTCCAGATGCCTGAAAATGTAATTCCAGGTTGGTGCCAGCAAAGGAAGCTGCCCATTCCTGATTATCCAAAGGACTGCCTTCACCCATAGGATCTTGATCATGCATTAAACTTTGCTCCAGAGTCCTTCTCAAGCACTGGTTAGGTCAGCACATGCAAGGGACATGCAAGAGATGCTGGACCTCCCTACTGAAGTGTGTCTGTTAGCGATCAGGTGAGCTTGGAATACTCTGATTTTTCCATAGCACATAAATCAAGAGCAGCTGACAGCATGCATCCTGTCGGTTTGCTAGCATAGACGTTTGTCATCCTTGTTTCTTGTATTATCTTTGAGAATACGTCACTTTGTGAGGGCACAACTGAAAAAATACCATTCGACGAGCCATGTTCAATATGCGTACTTTTAAAACGAGCGCTCCGTTTTTGTCCCCCACTTTCTCTTCTCCCCTGCACCTGAAATGTCATTTTCCTGCCCTGTGAAATGTGCGCTGGGGGAAGGGTGTTTCTTTCTCCTATACTTCATTCACTCCGAGAGGTTAAGCATAGTTAAATCGTTTCCACGAAGGATAATACTCATACAGTTCAAATAATTAGAAGCGTCTGCATGTGAGACATTTTTTACCTTTCCCCTACAAAAATGTAGACACCAGCCCTACAGAAGGGAGGTGCAGATGGCATGGAACACTTGGCCATGGCAGCCCTAACAAGCCAACAAGGAAGGGCTGCCGTTGTAGCCACAAGCATCTATTTCTTCGCAAAATGCAAGTTACGTTCACCAGCAAACGCAATGCTACCTCCTTCTGGTTCTCCTCGAATTTGGCAAAAGCAACATAGAGATGTTCGTTCATGTGTTCCTCCCCAAAGAACTCCACAGCCCTCTCAAGGACTTTCCTTGCGTGTGCGAAGTAGTTGTGCTTTTCTTCAAATCGGGCATATTTGATCCAGTTCTTCACATCAGGATGCACAAGGACAAGTGGAAGCTGTTAAGGCATCCAAGCACAAAGCATCGCATTTCAGGATCTACCTCTTAAAAACAACATGTAACTATTTCTTGATGTAAGAACCCCAGTACAAGTAGCACAGTACTGAATCAAGCTGCTGGAATGTCTTTTTTTTCCTTTCTTTTTTTGCTGTGAAGCTTTAGCAGCAGAGACAAATTGTAAACAGGCCCTAGTTCTCGCTGAAGCTGTAAAGCTGGAATTGGGCTTCAGCATTTCAGAATGCAGGACCTCAACTGACTGTTCCTTTGCACTAAAAGCACTATTGCACAACACAGGAAATTAGACGCCAAAGAGATAACTAGCATGGGATTTCCCCTCTTGACGTCTGGAGATGAGCAGATTATCAGATTTCATTATAAAAATGAAATAGAATAAATATAAAAGCAACTGGTGCTTTCAAGCAATACCCAATGTCAACCAAAATAGTGCAACTGCACCAAAACTTTAGGCTGAAGCTGAAGCGTTCATAAAAGGATATATCTCTCATAAATAGAGCGTGCTCGGTCCACTTCCTTGTATCTCAGCTCAAAGTTAATGTACGAATGCCAGGACTGTTCTTCGGGCTGCCATTCCATCCAGCGCTCAAACACTTGGCGGGCCCCTGCGACATTCCCCAGCATTTCCTCCATGTAAGTATACTTGTACCTTTCAAATAAAAGCAACGCATGGAAGATTAGCACTGTTGCCCAGGCTCATAAATGATGTACCTTTCTAGCAAACAAAAATAATTTGTATTATTTTTTTCCCCTTGAAAAGTAACATCGAGAGTGTTTGCACTTTTAGTTCCTAGTGCACAGAGCCCAGATTCCCAGCTTGGATACTGACAAACACTTGGTTTAAGCACGTCGATCATCAAGGGCTCCGTAAGATGCAGCCGCAACCCCTTTCTGGCCAACCTGCACCCTTTCGAACTAATGTGATTTTTACAAAACAGCAGCAAATTTTAGAAGCTCAGGAAGAGAAACTTCTAGAAAAGTGGCAAACCAGGCTTAGCTTACCAGAACTGGTTCACTCGTGGTAGAGTAGTGATTGCGCGATCCCAGATATTTCGGGCATGATTAACTTGGCGGTTCTTCATTTCCATCTCGGCATATTTCAGCCAAAGGGTGACATTTCGGTAGTCCACATCTAGAGCCCGCTCGTAGATAGATCGAGCCCTGCAAGTGAAACATTGCCCAAATTAATGCAAGTTTAATTGTTACCATTGAAACTTGGGCCCTGTTATTCATGGTGAGTCTTGAAGAGTACTCCTCAAAGGTTAAGAGGTATCTGAAACTTGTACAATTATCACAACCTTTTATGAAACGTAAAATGGTACTGATTATAGGAATGCACTCCACCTAGTAATAGTTTACTGCTACTGATTTATGTCAGTAAAATGAATACATATGTTTTGTCAATCTTAGAAGAAAATCAATAGTTATTTTAAAAAGAAGAGCATCTCACAACAGTTACCTCTGTATTTCTTTGAGACTTTCTTCCCATTGTGCGTATTTGATCCAGTTACTGATAACGGTCCGATTTTTTCTTATGTTGTCTTCAAAGGTCTATGGAGAAATATAAGAATTTACTTTTAAGAAGTAAGGAGAGCAACTCCACTGTATAACCAAAAAAAAAGAAATCCACGGAGAATCTGAACCTATGTTCAATGGGAAATAGTCAAACAAGAAACTATTATATACTCAAGTGGCCCAGAACAGTAGCAGTTTTATCACATTATTTTCTCACAGCCATCTCATGAAATCTTCTATGAAAATAATAGTGTAGAAATTTTTAAATACATAAATTTGGACGGGACCTCAGAAATGGTCTAGTTCAGGAACAGGCAACTCTGGAATGTCTGGAGGACAATCTTACTCAGTGGAGTCCCTGATGAGCCACATGACAGGGATTCATTCACACGTGCTGTCTACCCTTGATCTGGGTCAATCTTCTACTTGATGCAAAAACCAGATCTAACGATCTCTGCCATCAATGACTTTTTTCATTGAAGGAGAACCTGCCACTGCCTAATGCAGTCTAGCCAACTGTCAAACTGTCTTATCCTTTGCCTTATACACCACCGTCTTCCCCAGAAAATCAAGAGTAATGATTGCTCAGTGGCAATAGCAGCCACTGGAAATCTACAGGAGATCTGGCATATCTTGTGGGGGGAGAGGAATCTCCAAAGTTCAGGTATTTGGAAACAAGGCCTAAACAAATGAGGGACAGATTTAGTTTTTTCTTGGTTTATTGTGTGTTACATACCCTGAGCTTCTGGACCAGAAACTTAGATAAGTATCAGATTGGTTATGTATGTTGCTTACTGTATACTTACTTTTCTTTTCCGAAGCTTGTAATCATTTAGCTCTTCTTCATCTGTGATCTTCTGCTGAGGGGGTGGGGGGAGAAGCTCAAGTTCTCTCTCCTTTGCTTCTCTTAGGAGTTGCTCTGCTGTGATCTGTACTTCTGCCGGAGCTTTGTTTTTCACCTGTGTGGAACAGAAAGCAATCATTTTTAGAATATTTTTACGTATTGTTTATATTTATATTCAGTTTGGCTGCCCAAAACTCTCTGAACTGGAAGGTTTACAAGCATCCAGTTGCATATGGGAGCCAATTATGTCTTTTGCCCCTGCTCACGAGGAGGGCTGGCTATTGTTGCGCTTGGGAAGCTGAAAGGAGGGTGATGTTGCACTAAGAGAATGGAGGGAGCAGGCCTTGTGATTGGAGTCCAACCTCAGAACCTGTTTTCAGGGTCAGAGCTGGGACACCAACCTGCATCGAGCAGTTGTATGATTGTACCCTTACAGGTTTTGCTTGTGAAATGTAGAAGTCATATTAAAGAAAGTCCAAGAACTGAAAGCTAAGATTGACTCAGGAACTTTATATAACTTTAGGACAAATTCAAGGCAGGGCAAACGCAGGACAAACAGATCAATTTGCCTTACAAGAAAAAGAAACAAAGCATTGCACCAGAACAGGAATTATCCCTTTGCTAGCTCTGTACCTTGTCTCCAGACAGATAATTTCATTTCTTCACTTATCAGTAACTATATTTAGCAGCTACAGGTTTGTGTTGGTGGTTATATGGAACACTTGACATTATCTCCTACCACCACCCAAGGGTAAGCAGAAGAAATGCAGAAATGAATGACAGTTTTGGTCATTCACCACTTACAGCTCTGAAATTCTGACTTATCCATAATTCGTTGGGATTATTTGTATTTTGGGAGCTAGAAAGATTTCATAGTCAAAAGCCCGCAGGTGCTTTTGCTACCATGAGTCAGTATTTCCTTAGAGAACAGTAAACTTTGCAAGGATAATTCATACTGCGTGAGGTGCAGTGCTATATGGAATCTGTCCGTCTTTAGCAACTTCAGCAGAGATGGGAGACCCTGGCCGTGCCCTCCAGGTGTTTGGAACTACAATCCCCACACCCCTTCCCATCGGCCATGCTGGCTGGCGCTGATGGGAGTCAGAGTCCAAAACATCTGGCAGCACCAGGTCGCCTCCCCTTACAGAAGGCTACAGGGGAGGGGATGTGACTAGTCCTCAGCGTTTTCAGCAGGCGCAACCGCCTCCTGCCCCCTTTCGCGGAGATGATGAAGGGCTGTATCGCACCGCCTCCGATATGCGAGGGGGAAAGGCAGCAACCGAGCCTCCCCTTCCGGGCCGCAGGGCTCGGGCCCCCCAGCACTGCGCGCCGGCGGGGGCGCCTTGGGGACGCCTCGCTGCTCCGCCAGGCCGAGCGGCGCCTGCGCTCCCGTCCCTCGGCACCCAGTTCAGCCTCGTCCCGCGGCGCGGCCGGGCTGCAGCCGGACCCCCGCGCGGGGCTAGCCGCCCGGCAGGCCCCACCGCGCCCGCAGCGCCCCCTCGGCTCCCCCGCGGCCCCCGCGCACCTTCGCCACTTTGGGGATCCGCTGCTTGCCGGCCGCCGTAGACGCCATCTTGGCCCTCGCCTGGGCGCCCCCCGCGCGCCTCCCAGCATGCAGAGCGCCGCCGCGTCGCCACGGCAACGGCCGCGTCGGTCGGAGGGCGCCCCGGCGGAGGTGAGCGCTGCCTGCGCGGCCGCGGGGCTCCCCGGCGGGTCGCTCCGGCCAGGCCCCGGCCCCGGCCCGCCCTGGTCGCGCCGTCCGCGCACGCAGGCGGCTTCGCGGGAGGCGCCCCCAGGCAGGGGTGCGGCGGAGGCCCCGCCGCCCTCCCCGGAGAGGGCCCGGGACGGGATGCCCCTGCGGGGCGGCCCGGGCTGGAGGGGCCGCGGCGGGCCTCGCGGCGGCAGCGCTGTTGCGGGGAGGCCGCTCGCCCCGCTGGGATCGGCGCTGTCACTGCGGGGAGCTGTCAAGCCGCCCGCTAGCTACGGCCGCCCTGGGCACTGCAGCCCCCGGGATGGCCCGGCTGTGCCCGCCCCTCTCGGCTCCTCCGAGTGCGCGGCGGCGGCGTCCTTGGCGGATGCGACCCGTCCCGCATTCGGCCTTCCCTTGCCGCTTGTGCCTCCGACTGCCCCCGCATGAGGGCCTTCCCTGCGCGGGACGCGTCCAAAGCAGGAGCGCCCCGGTTTGGTCGTTCTTGCTTCGTTCGAGGGAGCGCTCTGGCTGCGCGCCTGGTTGCTCTTTCTGTTGGGCCAGGGCATTTGCAAAGCTCTCCTCCAGCACCGTGTTTCAGCACCCATTTTCTTCCCATCAGCTTTCACACCCATACAGAGTGATGGGGGAACGCACAAGTGTGGATGACTGGCTTTGGTCTCCAGTGAAATATCCTTTCCTGCGATGACCTTTTCTGCTTGCTTCATTGCAGCCTTTCCAAGGCTCAGCTAATGTGACCATTAATGCTCGGAGAGGATGCAGCTTAGTTTGGTGGCTCTGCTTTGTCCATGTTGCCTTGAGTGACCTTGCCAGGAAACCAGCCTAGTGAGAGAGGCCGGACTCCTGGCAGCATTGCTCTCAGCTTCCCTGGCACTCCCAAAACCCTTCGCCATGCTAAGGTGTGCATCCAGGGGAAGGAGACTGTTAAGGAATCAAAACTAGAAATGCCAGTATCATATGTGCCATGACAAATGCATGACACAAGCACCCTTGAAATGCCCTGTATGATTCTGATCACTACACAGAAATCATAGAGTTGGAAGCGGTGCGGAAAAGGTCAGCCAAAGTGATCAAGGAAGAAGCTTGAGCAAGTCCCTTTGAGGGGCAATTAGAGTGAGAGGCTCTTTAGCTTACTGAGAGAGAGAGAGAGAGAGAGAGAGCACATGAGAGAGGTGTGTATGATTATGCTTGGTATAAAGAAAGGGGATAGGGAAAAAGCCCCCCCCCCCTTCAGAATACTAGAACTTAGTACCATCTAATGATGCTAAATACTAGAAGATTTAGGGCAGACAAAAGGAAGTGCTTCTTCACAGTGCATACTTAAACCACAGAACCCACTATCACAAGATGCTGTGATGACCACCAGTTAAAGGGGATTAGACAAATTCACAGAGAATAGTTGCATAATTATTATCCCCAGCTCCCAGTGCTGACTAGTCCTGATACTGCCTGCAGTACCAGAAAGAGTGTGCCTCTTTATATCTGTTGCTGGGGAAACAGTGGGAGGAACACCTGTGTTGCTCCTGGGCTTCACATGGGTATCTGGCATGCTGCTGCAGAACACCATGCTGGCCTCGACAGGCCTTTCATCTGACCTAGTGTGGCTCTTCTTACTTGCTGTGTCCTTACTTCTGTTTTACCTATCACACAGCAATGATTCCTCTGACTTACAGTACTTAATTCATTCGAATTCTCTTTTCTGCAGCATGTACAATGTCTTTACCTACAACAGGACCATCTTCACCACAATCATCTGGCCCATGCAGTGCCAGAAGAACCGAATCCCAGGACATTCCTGACATTGTTAATAACATGAAGTACGATGCGGAAAGATTGTTTGGCAGAATTAATGTCATCTATCTTTTGTAAGCAACACCACTGCAGCTAGTTCCAGTATATTCAAAATCACTCTTGCAATTATATTTATTTACTTTGTGAGCAAAATCTAACCATTTGTTTTACAGAGAAAAAGCCAATCTTGCGGTAACTTTAACAAATCAAAAGAATGTAAACCTTGCTTACGCTGTATTTCTGAACTATCCGAACTGGAATATTGTTGATCAGGCCCACTGGGAAGATTACTTAGAGCAAAAATATGTCCACACCAAATGTACAGTAAGTAGGGAGCATATTTTCCTTGAAAGTTCCACTCAGAAGGTTTTCAATATTGTATGATTACGCAGCAGGGAATAGTAAGAGTGTATTAACCTCTGGAATACCTGCATTTTAATTGTCTTGTACAAGAAGATGAATGTGGGAAAGCACTTCAGCTCATTGATTTTTGTATGCCAGTCCTGTGGAATGCATCCTTGAATGCTTTTGGCTTTGGTTCATAGGAAAGTGCCTGTCATCAGTAATCCAATGAAATTAGGTGAACATAAACTTTATTTACATATTTAGAGTTTTTATATGCTGTCCCATCGCTTAACGCCTCGAGACGGCTTACATAAACTTGCTCGTGGCCTTAAGCCAAAGGGGAAAAATCAGGGGTTAAAAGATTAGGTTTGCATCATGTTTCTGCCCTTGCTTGCTTATCGCTCTCTTGTGTCAAAACTGGCCATGTGTAAGGTGGACTCGACTGCAGGCTTTCTGAGACGGGTTGAGAACAGTGGAGGGATTCAAAGAGAAATTTATGCATTCTCTGTGTGTATGTGTATATGTACTGATTCCATTGTCCATACTGCTCTCAGAAACCATTTAATAAACATAATCTTGACATTCCGCCTGTCCATAAGCATGTTTTAAGAAACTCAGGAGATGTCCAGTGGTCAAGAGCAATTGAAGTCCAAAACATCTGGAGATGCCGCTTCTGTTCACCTCTTTATAATGTGATTTTCCTTAGGTCACAATCCTATGTATATTTAGACAGAAAATGACCGGCTAAGGAATGTGGTAGCTAAGGGATTATTTTCTGTCCATGGATGCATAGGATTGGATCTTAGTAATTTATTTCTGTGGAAATCTGCTAGATGAGGTTGTTGCAAAAATTTCTGTGCCTTGTTGTAGGATTTTAATATAACAGTTTTATTTCAATATCTTTAATTTGTTTGTATCTTTTACTCATAGCCTTTAAATACACTCTTTATGCATCTGTTTCTGACAACGGATGAATATGCAGTTGATTGTTGCCATGAAATCATGAAGTAAGTTGATACATTATAGAGGAGGCAGCTATTTTGGAATGTTAAGAATAAAAATCAAATTTCTTAGCATGTGATTCACATACAGTCCAACACATGCCTGATCAGAATTGTTCAGTGCAGGTTGCTCTCAGGAAGATATTATGGGAATGTTGCCTGAATTGTTTTTGAGCTAGTGATACATGAGTTTGTACAGCTATTCAGTAGATACTGATACATTTTTTTAGCCCATTGTTTGAAGTTTTGCAGTAGAACCTTGGTTACATAAACAAGCAACTGCTTTGCTATAGTTTCAGTTCTCACACGCTCCTATGTATGGACAAGCTGAAAGATCAGAATGAATTGCCCATTTTTTCCAAATATATATGCAAAGTTTGTCTGTTTCAAATCAGGATGGTGATTTCTTTATCACTGGTTTGAATGCTGCATGCGGTTCCTAATAAATAGATTCATTGTGTTTCCTGCATGAGGAAGAAATAGACCTTTGGCCTTGAATGAAACTCCTCTCCAGATTTTAGAATCAGCTCTAAATCAAAACTGATCTGTTACAAATACCCTTATCTGAAAAAACTGCAAGTTTCTCAGTGAAGAACAAAAGCAGTCCAAGTTTTGAGAAATAATTTGAGGCCGCCTGTAACCCTCCAAACACGGAAGATTCTTGGTATCCTTTGCATGAAGGTCCTCTCCGCTCTCCCTGCTGCACCATACAAAGCGCGTGAATGGGCAGTTTGGGCCATTTAAGTGCTTTTTCTCTGGAGTGCAAGGGAAGGATGCTGCAGTGCTTTCAGGATGCTACAGGTGCTGGTGGTACCCAACTCTTCCCCTCCCTGCTCCCCTCCCCACCCCAAGGAATGGGAAGCTTGTGGTGTCTCACAGGCCAGTTTGGCCCACCAGGCCAGCCATGCAGTCTGGGGAGCCTTGAATGGGGCACCTCCATGAAGTCCTTTCCCTTCAGAAGCGGGGGGACTGGAGAGTGACAGGGCAACCTCTCAGACCCCTTCAGCACATTCTGACAGAGGAGTAAAGGGGTCTAAGTTGGCACAGCCTTGCTGTTCCCTTGCATTTTTCCTGTAGGGAAGATCTCCATGCATTTCACTCTGCTTGCACTTCCCCTAGTTGAGGAAAGCCCAGGTTTTGTGAAACAAGCTCTCTGGCTGAAGCATTACTGTTTTACCATACCTTATTGGCCATATGTCTTTGAAATAGAAGCAAGAGAAGGTGCAGTTTTAAAACTTTTCAAAGAACAGCAAGATATATAGTTCTTTTTTTAAATTCAGGACTGTCTTCAAAACTGTGCCAGAGCTGCATTTTGTACTTCTGTTCATACCTGCTCAAGAGGACTTAGGTAAGGATTAGATCAATTTCTTTGCCATTTTTTAAAAACTTTCATTTGGATGGGGTAGTTTGGTGACTTGCAGGAACTGCAGGTCAACTGGAGGCTTGTGCATATGAGGGCTGAGCTGAACTTTGTACAACTCTTTCTCCCCATTTTTTTAAAGAGCAAAGGCATTATTGGAAGGCTCAAGCATTGAAGGCTGATTTGCAGGGATGTGCATGGATGCAAATCTCTTTGGCACTTTTCCCACCAGCTTTTTTTCTGGTCAAAAAACCCTTCCCCAGCTTTTTGTACCCAAGGAAATACATGCATACACACACACCATACAAGAAAAAGGCATTAAAGTTGCACTGATAATATCTGGCATATAAAATCTGGAATAAGTATTGTTATATTAAGGATACCAAGAAAAGTCTACCATGAAGTGGCAATGACAGATATAACATATGCTACGTAGATACGGAATTTTTAATGTATACTTTTCAAAGCTAGAATCAAAATTCATGGAAGTTTGAACTCTTCCCTAACATTAATGCACAATTTTAAAGTATTGGCTCAGAGCCTTGTAGATTAATAATCTGAAATAGGGTCCTTTTCTGACCAATCAAATATCCAGTAGAAAATGTGAGGTTGCGCCAGAAACCAAAAGTAGCGCTTAAAGAAGCAAGCCAAAGAACAGCTGAAAAGTGTGCTTTTTCACAGTGTGCGTTTTACATTCTTCAGGTACAGACTTAGCAACCGCTTTTGTGCCCATGGAGAGTATATCAGATTCAACTCAGAGTATGGATTACAGCCTCTATGTGTCACACAGGCACCAGTTTTGTCCCCAGCTGTATGTCCGCCGTGCCAGGTAACAGTTCCACGTCTTTGGTGGCTTTTATGACAATTAACTAATACTCCAATTTAATTTACCGCCGTTAGTATTTTTCATCCTTCATCAATGTTTTTCATGCATACATTTTATTCCTTTCCGAGCAGTCACTTTTCCTTGTCAGGAATCAGTTGGCTAGTTAATCTGTTATTCTTAACGTTATTCTATTATTCTTAGTATTACTGCAGGACTCATAAAGTAATGTTTACATTGCTGTCTGACTGGAATATTATTCTGTACTGTGTCAGGGAAATGAGGATATTTTAGAATTCTCGTTTCTCCCCCAGTATCTAAAATCTGGAACTTCCTGTGCCTTTGGCTTAGTTCTCCCTGATATAGTAATCCTATATCTGGATTTTGTCACTCCGGACGTTAGGTGGGGGCTGACATGTTGGAATGATCCAACAGCACTCATTTTCGACTGAGGCAGAAAATTTGTAACCTGTGAATTGTCTCCCTGACATACTGGTGCTCCAGAATTTTTGGCATAGAATAGTAGGCAGTCATCTGCATTCAATGTGTTGAATTATGTTGTTTTCAAGTACTGGTAAGCAGTCAGTTTGGAGTAATCACATGGACGATGCACAAACATAATTTGACCACTAGAGGTCACCAAAAGCCGTGGAACATGGATCTTCCACCCTTTCCCAACTGGGAATGCACAAGAATTGCCTTTATCTATGAAAACATGCAGAGATGTCCAGCCTGCAAACCCAAGAGCAAGCTGGAGTGCCTTTTCATGAAAACATCCCATTTCCCTGAACTTACATTCATGTTAACACGTGTTCCTTGAAAATGCAAATTGTACTTGCTTGACATCTCTTCATTGTTTTTGTGTACTTGACAGCCATTGTTGTGGTCCTAGAACTTCCATTTAATATGGTTGATAAACTTATTCACAGAAGTTGTATACCCAGCTTTAACTTTACAAGGTTTTTGTCCAGAAATTCCACACTGAGACTTTTTAAATGGAGCAGGACTACCTGCTTGTAAAACCACGGACAAAATAACTAAGAAGCTATAAAGCAGTCCTTGACAAGTGGAATATACAAATTTGTCCCAGGTTCTCAGATTCTCTAGCCCTATTCAGACTCTGTTACAGGAAAGGAGAGAGGAAAATGAGTAAGTGCGATGGGGCGCACCCCCCTTGGGTCTCTGCCCTCCCCACACTGAACGGGGAGACTGGCATCTGGTTGGGTTAAGCGAATGCTGTTAGGGGTCGGGTGCAGACCTTCCCCATGGGAAAGCGAGCCGCTGAAGTCGCCCGGCCAGTAGGGGCTGGTATAGCCCCTGAAAGCAAAAGGGCTTGTTGCTTGGAAGCGAACAGTATTCATTTTTCTCATCTGTCTGATAGAAACTTCTTTAAAAAGAGAAGAACATGCTAATAGACTAATGGCCAGTAGTATAGTTGTGTCCATAGGATGTCTGAAAACACTCTTTACCTTTTGATTTGTGTTGGTAATGAACCTTCAGTTTAATTAAAATACTGATTTCCGTGAAGGAAAGTAGCGGGGTAAATAAATAAATGCCAGTTGATATGGGGGGGGGGGGCGTGTTGTGAGCGGGTGAACATAGGGAAAGAATGCCATCCGTCCATCCACCCACCCATCTGTCTGTCCTTCCTTCCTTCCTTCCCATCTTCCCTCCCTCCCTAAGCAGTCCCCTTGTTTTATCTACTTCTCAGTGATCCTTTTCCTTCTCATGAACCATGCCATGCTAGGTATGTTCTCAGGCTCTCTCATGTTCTTAGAGTCACTCAAAGCAGGGCAGGTGGCACCTGTATCTCGGGACCTCTGGGCTGAAGTCAGTGCAAACAAGCCTGCCCTTCAGGAACTGGTGCGAAGATTTATCCGGTCGTTACCTCTCACAGTGATGCACCGGTGCATTATGGATAGTGCCCATGCCAGCATGACTGGAAAAAATCCCCAACTTTCCCATGCCTCAGCCTTCGACGTATACCTTCAAAATCCCCTGTTTTTCATGAGGAGAATTATTACCACCAAATAGCTTCTGTGGTATTTTGTTACAGCTGTGACATTTGATTATGCCTACAACCTGTTTGATCCAAATAATCAAAGCATTTCAGGCCTGATTCTAGAAACACTCTTATTGCATATGCCACACATGGTCATTCTTTGATTTTGATGCTGTGGGTTCAGCTTTTACAAGGAATCTGGTACTGAATCGAACTGCAAGGTTATTGTTCTTGACTTGAGCTATGCAATATAATTATTGTAGTAACTTTAAAAGTTTCATTTAATTTGTATGGTTTCATTTTCCATCATATATATTGGTATTGATTTGTTTGCTTTATTTCAATTCACTGCTTGAATAGTTGTGGGTATTTTCATTTTAGTGTATTGTTTGCATCTTTATGGAGAATGTATTGGTAAAGTGAGATCTACTTATAAATGGAACTTGCCCAAGCAAAGGTATGATACAGCTTGTCAATTTAAAATCTGAGATTGCTCAAGCGTACGAAGGGGGAATTCCATGCACCTCTCTTTTATGTTTGACTTGGCTTGTTCTGCTCCTGCTATTTTGAAGGTTACCACATCACATATTTAGATGACGTTACAAAAGCATGACCCATTTTCAGATCTGCAGTTACCAGATTATCTCAGATGATGACTCTAAAAATGTTCCCTATTTTTTCTAATACTGATATTTCCCTGAATCAGCGAGCAACAAGTCCAAGCTTCTTTTACATTTCCATCCCATGACCTGTTATGTAAGACAAAAAGAAGATTAAAAAGGCGCAAGCGTGAGAGATAGGAGCTTTCGTGGAAGTTTCCTCACCTTTCCTGAAACCTGCTCTCCCTTAGGGTGGTATCCAGTTAGTGCTTTCTGCTGACAAAAGGACTTTCATCTGTTGAACTGGTGGGGAGAGTCCACGCTTCCCGCAGGCCTCCTTGTACCCTCAACACCTGTCCAGAGGCTCAGAGACCCTCCAGGGGGATTTTTGAGGAGTGGCACAGGTTGCTCCAGGGAAGAGAAGGCCTCCTGTTGTGTGAGGGGCAGCCGCCTGTGTTTGGTGGGGTGGGAAGCAGCTGAGCGAAGCTCACGGTATGTGCTCAGATAACCTGGGTGACGCACAGCCTTGCCGTGCTGTGCCGGAGCACTGGGAGTGAATCCTGAGGTTGGGTCTCGACAAGCATCGATGCAAGTGGAACCCAGAGATGGGGCGCAGGGCCCATTTCACAAGCAGGAGGAGGTGTCACAGTTGCAGCCACACAACTGCATTGCATCCTCAGTGATGCAGAACTGCTTTATTTATTTATTTATTTATTTATTTGGAATTCTTGTATGCCACCCCCTTCACATAAGCCTCGGGGCGGCTTCTAACATATAAATAAATAACTATACAAATACGTATAAAAACTGGAAACATCCTGGTATAATCATTAAAACCAATAAATAAAATTAGCAATTATTAAAATATTTAAATACAAAGGTCTTGGCCTGGCGCCGAAAAACAAATAACAATGGTGCCAGGCGGACCTCTCTGGAGAGCGCGTTCCATAGGCGGGGTGCCACCGCAGAGAAGGCCCTCCTCCGGGTACTCACCCTCCTAATGTCTTTCACGGAGGGCTCCCGGAGGAGGGCCTCTGCCACCGATCTCAGGGGGCAGGAGGGCAAATACGGAAGCAGGTGTTCCTTTAGGTACTCAGGTCCCAAGCCGTTAAGGGCTTTATAGGTGATAACCAGCACCTTGAATTGAGCCCGGACTTTGATGGGAACCCAGTGAAGCTGGTAGAGGACTGGGGTTCTGTGAGAATAATGCCCAGTCCCCGTCAGCAACCTGGCAGCTCTGTTTAGCACCATCTGAAGAATCTGGACCGTCTTCAAGGGCAGCCCCACATAGAGCGTGTTTTGATTGATTGATTTATTTAAACCATTTCTATGCTGCCCCATTCACAAAAAGCCTCGGGGCTTACAGCTTTACAGAAATTCAGCCGGGAAGTCACCAATGCGTGTGTCACTGTCACCAGGCAGTCGTTCTCCGGGTAGGGGCGCAGCTGATGGATCAGCTGAAGCTGAAGGAAAGCGCTCCTCGCCGCCGCTGTCACCTGAGCGTCCAACGACAGCTCTGGGTGGAGGAGCACTCCCAAGCTGCTTTGGTCGTGCCTTTGGTGTTGGAATCCCATTTTGAGATTTCTGAAGTTTGTGTTGCTTGCAAACTTGTCATTCATAAATTTGCCTTGAAATACTATGAAGGCCTTCCATATTGTGCCTCCAAGACATTCCCTGCACGGTGACCGGGGCCTGCTTTGTCCTCCCACACTTCCCAACCCTGTGGAAAGCCATTGCCCTGTTCTTTTGCTTTTCTCTTGTCGAGAAATACAGGGCACAGCTGATTTTCTTCTCTTTCCTCGTTCCAGTGCTAGGTAAGAGCTCTAATCTGTAGATTTTTACAACCAGAGCATGCTGCCTGTGACATAGTGGTGCGTCGTGTGCATTGGACCACCGCCTGCCCCACTGTGAAGGAGACATCGAACCAGATTGTGTTTTTCTATTTTGGGCGATTAGAGGGTGGATGGAAGACCGGCAACTTTAAAAGGCGGGCTTGGTCCAAGCGAAAAACCATTAAGAAACACAAGCCTCCCCAATTTCCTTTTTCTGCCCTGAACCTTTAATGTGGAGGAGGTGAGAATATCTGCCACATCTGAGTTAGTGAGTGCTAGACATGTGAACTAAAAAGCAGTGTTCTCCGAAACATTTTATTCACATTTTAAACAATTTCTCTA